TCTTAGTTACTGTTTATGTTATATAAACTATGGAGACTACATGCTATCGCCATAGTAAGGGGCAGTGTGTCATAATGAACATATTTAGGTTTACAATTTGATGACTTGTAGATTTGAACTACAAAATCATTCAGAGGCTAACTTGTCATAATAGACACTTAAGGGACTAGCTTGTCATAATCAACGAGTTTAAGCTTAGAATTTGATGACTTATGGATCCAAACTATGGCATTGTTCAACCTGTTTAGAACTGTGTAAGGATCTTCTCAGGGGTGGCTGTAGTTCAGGAGAACGTCTTTCTCGTTGATTCGAATCCATAACCACATCCTGTCATCTTTCATAAATTGACATCTTGTAGCTCTTCTGTCTGCATATCAAGTCTTCATCTTGTCTGACACCAAACGGACTTGTTCTTGTGCAAAACTGCACATCATTTCAAATCATGCAATATACTCCTCAGGCGACGAAAGTGCATCCAGGGAGTGACCAAATAAGAGATAAAAACGCAAATGAAGGTCCTGACCCAAGAGCATCTGGGATCGGAAATAGCAGGTGGTCTCGTGGACATCACTGCAATAGGCCAGTAAGAACAGAGGTAACTTCTGGTCCAAGCCCTTTTGGTTTCTGAAAACCATCAGCGAGTGTTTGTTAAGAATGATTTGATTAAACCTTCCTACCATGCTGTATGACAGCTGATGTAAAGGAATCATTTGGATTTTATATATGCCAAGTACTCTACAGAGTTCTTTAATTACAGCCGAGATAAAATTCCTTCCTTGATCCGAATACAACTGAAGAGGCATTTCAAACCTGGAAATGTAATACTGTGTCACTATTACTGCTACCATGACAGCCTCTTGACCAGAGATATGATATTCTTCAAGCCACTTTGTGAAGTAATCAGTGACAACCAGGATGTATTTGTTGCTATTAGCTCTTCATGGCAGAGGTCCCAGAATATTAAAGGCAATGCATTCTAAAGGCGCTCCTTCATTGTAACATTGCAGCTTGCCTCGACTGCGTTTCTTCAGTCCTTTCTGACTTGCACAGGCATCACAAGATTGGCACCACTTTTGCATGTCATCTTTTTCATTACTCCAATATAAACGTTCTCGAATTTCTGCAAAGTCCTCATTATTCCAAAATGGCCTCCTATAAGGCTGCTATGCAGTTCTTCAAGGATATCTGGGATCTTGGAAGTATCAGCTGCCATCAAAAAGTCTTCTCCTCATCCAATTTGAATTTTCGGTATAAGATGCCATTTCGAATATGGAATGAGTCTCAGAAAGCCCAGTATTGTTTTGTCGTAGGCCATAGCTTGAAATGTCCTGCGAGGTAGGTCTTCTGTTTGAAGACTCCATTAATTCAATTATAGGTTTAATATCACCATCTTCCTACTGGTTTCTCCTGACTTCTTCATCACTCTATGGATCTGGGTCAGATAATGTTGAAATTGTAATCTGATATCCAGTCAGGTTAACCAGTTCGTGTTTCACTTCAACTCTGGAAGAATATCAGCAGCTTTCTGGGCAGGGTCCTCTAGACAGGGCATTAGTGTTTCTGTGTAACATTCATTTCCTTTGATCGATAGATGTGTCATATTTCTGGAGTTCCTGTATCTATCTGGCTATTTGGCCTTCAAGATTCTTGAAATTTAAAAGCCAGGTCAAAAATGCACTATCTGTACATGGAGCTGTAATTTTCTGCCACAGAGGTAATGATAGAAATGTTATATGACTTTAACTATGGCAACCAACATTTTCTGGCAATACAGTAATTCCTCTCCTGCTTAAGTAGACACTAGCTCCCATATGCCATGACACATTCTTAACCATTTATTTCTTGGGACAGAACAACACTGGTATTCTGATTGCTCGCATCCATGTCAAGAATAAATGGTATCTCGAGCAGAGGATACATCGGAATTGTCTCAGATGTTGAAGTCTCCTTCAGTTTGTTAAATGTATCCTCATATTATATGGTCTACAAAAAATGTTGATTGCTCTTTCTCAGCTTGCGAAGGGGTCTTGCACTCGAAGAAAAGTCCTTCAGAAGTCTGATATGCAAAGCCCCAGGAAACTTCTTGGACAATTTTGGAGCATCTCCAAGCTTTAACTGCTGCCACTTTTTCTGGATCCGTACACACACCTTCAGCTGTATTGACATGTCTGAGGTAAGTTACATCTTGTCTGAACAATATACATTTGGCTGGACTTAACTTTAGATTGACATCCTTCAACTTCTGAAGCACCTTCTTAATATTTTCCAAATGTTCTTCAGTAATTTTCCCAACACTGATGATGTCATCCAGGTATATCAGACAGGCTTCGTGGGAAAGACCTCTCAGCATGGTCTGTATGAAGTGTTCGAATGTTGCCGGTGCATTACATAATTCAAACAGGATCGCTTTGAACTGCCAAAGCCCTTTTTCAGTAATAAATACCATCTTTTCTCGGCCATCAGGCTGTATCTCGAACTGCCAGTGTCCACTCTTTAAATCAAACTTCAAAACCATTTGATTCCAGAAAGTGTGTCCAGAATGTCGTCAGTTCTAGGAAGACAGTAACCGTCTTTCTTTGTGATGTCATTTATCTGATGGTAGTCAATGCAAAATCTAGTCAAACCATCCTTTTTTCAGATCAGAGCAATAGGAGAGGCTTAAAGACTTGCTGAAGGCTTGATAATTGCCTGATCTTTAGGAGGTTTTCTACCCTCTCCTGTTTACTAACAAGTAGATATCTTGGATGTTGCTTGATTGTTGGATGATCTTCTATATTATTTCTGTACTGAGCCAAACTGGTTTAACCCTATGTCAGAAAATGATCTTGAAATTTTTTAACAATGAATTCGGCAGCACCCCTTTCTTTATCGCTTAATTGTGCATTCTGCAATAGCTCCGATATTAGGTTCTCCGAAGATGCAGATTCTGGGCGACTATTGGTTCATTTACCACAGGTCACTGAAGTACATGCTGCAAGCACTTTGCCTTATCAGTTACATTGGCAACTCAACAGGTCAACAAGTGCTGAGGCTACTAATACTCCTTTCAAGCTGTAAAAGAAGTAAAAATTCTGTTCTTGCTGGTAAGAGTCCAAGAAAAAATTTTATTTTCTTAGAAAGTCCAATCCACAAGTATCCACGAGTATTCAAGGATCTGTAATATCTGCCACATATGCCATTATGATGGTAGGTGACACTTCCAAACATGATTAACATTCAGTTTACCATCATTTTTTGATTTTATCATTAGACTTAGTCTGGAGGGAAATGCAGAGCATCATCCAGAAGAGTTAACATTCTAATCATTGAGCTAGATCTTTTCTGATGATGTTAACATTGGCTCCTGTATTTGTGGTTATATTGCAGGGAACTCTTTTAATATGTCCATGATGAAGAGTCCATTACTGCTGCCACTCATTACAAAAATCTGAAGTAGTTTAAAATATGGTTTTCATTGAGGGTAAATGGGGCTTTAGATTCATTTAGATTTACTGTTATTTTGCCTGAAGTTGCCATTTTAATTAAAGGCTATGAGCTTGCTAAGATCACAGCAAACATTTGTTAATGAAATCTCTGACAGACATTATCATCAGGTATAAAATCTTTTCAAAATAGCAGATACTTTGGATGCAGATAAATAATAAGCTGAGGAATGTGAAGCCGAATGTACAATGTTAGGAGTTAGTCAGAAATTGTAAAGAAAATGTGCATCTGCCTTATCACTCTAGACTCGCTCATAGCACTGTTGAAAAGAGAGACTGCACCTATCTGCAAAAATTGTAATGCTTTTGTAAATATATTTAATATTTTGAGTGCCTTCTTTATCATGAAATATCTTGTTGGCAGTTACCTTAAATAACTTATTTGGGTAAAATTCTCATTCCATTATTTTTCAGTTTTAAAAACTGCAAAGTTTAATAGTTCAGTCTGATATTTGTTTCTTATGGCATTTGTCATTAGTGAATGTAGTTTCATTGTGTGTAAAATTATTTTATTCATATATTGTTTTATCTTATGATATAAATGCAGATGGATTTGTCATATCTACTAATGTTCAGTTTTTCACATTTTTAGTAATCTTTACCTTTGTCATGTCTGTGTCCTCGTGCGTATACCTCAGTCCTCATGTATATGCCGCAGTATTACTCATGCATATATCTCAGTTTGAAATCAAGGCTTTAGGATGAAATAATTAATTATACTTCCCTTATCATCATTTTTATTTTAAAGTCTTTAAGTTTTTTGCAAAATCTTATCATTTATAACATTTGATTTATGGATCTTATGACACACCTGTGATTGGCACAGAATAACCCATGGTTTTTCTGCCATAAAACCTTGATTGGCCATCTCAGAAGCTATGAATTAAAATGCCAAATTAGAAATTAATTCTTCTGATTTTACATAAAAATGTTATCAGAGGTATTGAGGAAAATCCTGATGCAAGAAAAAGACTTTTTGAAAATATGGCATCCTTTCAAACATGGTATCTCTCATTTTGGTGGACATACATAGTATTTTGGAAATGCATCAGTACAGTTCAGAAAATGCAAGGAGTTAAAGAAATGTGTCTTGTTTGCATAAAGAAGTAGCTGTTTTAAAATTACTTCAATGTTACAGGAATCAAAAGATGTAATACAGTAAATGATGCAGCATTAGAGAAATAAAGACTGCACAAAATTGTTGGACAATAGGAGGTTTCTTACAAGTGCAAGATAGTTTCAAAAGTAGTAATGTAAGATGTAGGATTATTTCTTCCAACATTTATAAATATTTCAAAAGACAAGCAAATTATGGAAAGTTTTACAGTATGTCTGTGCATATTAAAAAACTGAAGGAGAAAAAGTATGCTAGTGTTTGAAATATGAAAATCAGTTCAATTTTTAAATGTGTGAAAAATTGTTTGTGGACAAGACTTCATGAAATTATATTTCTTAAAGGAAATATATTCTTAATATATAGATATGTATTTTATTGTTTAATCTTTGAATTTTTTTCAGAGGACCATAGAAATTTTTAAAACTGACAATTTAAAACGAGAATTGCCATTATCTCTTAGAGATGCTGTAGAACTGAGTGTTCTACAAGAACATGAAGGGTGAGTACTCAGTCTTTTTTCCCCATTGGATTTGTCTATGCTTTTATTTTTAGTAATTCAAATTAAGATGAATGAAGAAGAATTATTTGATATTCTGATTAAAAATAACTGTTTTATGTTGTTTGATAATTCTGATTATTAAATAAAGCAATTTATCATTCATATCTGAATCCATAGTCTGAACTTTTACATAATCTTAAAAGAAATTATGCATGCATGTTTTGTATCATTTGATGGTTAAGAATTATTTCCAATTTTGTTATGACTTGTTAATGATAATCTTAACAGTTGAATTGATTAAGTAGCTAAATATTAATGTAAAGAAATCTTTATAATAAGACTAGCTATAATTTCAGATGACTGTAGTCTTCTGTAGAGGTGGTTGCCTCGGAGAACACAATTACCAATGATGCTTAGTTCTAATGTTTATTCACTTTCTTAGAAATACTGATAATGATGGGGGAATTTTATTGTAAATCTGAAGTTCTATCTCTCTGGAGCTCTGAACAGGTTTGGGGATTTGGATCTGTGTGAACTTTTGAACAGGCTATGGAAATTTTTATGCTTTTCTCAGTATAATTATTATAGTGCTCCCTATGAAAACAGCTCCTCGTGGTATTATGTATTTATATGCTTTGCAGCAATCGTTTATTGCATGGTTTGAAAAAGTTAGCTGCGGCTTTGATTTCCTTAAATATTGAGACTTTTTTCTGTTTCCTTCTCATAAGGCAAAAATTCTTTTCTGTCCCCCCAACTTATGTAGGAATACTTATGAAATGTTGTTGCTGTTGTTGTGCAACAGTGAAGAGACAAATCTGTTCAAACAGTTGTAGAAGATATTAAGAATTTATGACCTTATGAATAATAAATCTTATTGCTTTGTAAAGATAGTGTAATTTTTAATACAATAAATTTGTAGCATTTCTTATTAATTTTACCCATCTCAAAATTATTTTTTAATATTTCTTAGTAAAATTTCTTTCCTTTATGCATATTTTATGAGGAAGGAAAACAAAAGGATACCAACATTCATTTTAGATATACATTTCTAATTAAATTTATTAAAATGAGGTAGAAAGTTCCATGAAAAAAGTTTTCACATCATGGGCAGAAAATTTTCATGAGTTAAAGTGAAGTTTCATGAGAAGTTATGTGAAAATTCCATCTTCCTGCATGTTCTCTTTAGAGCAAAAGTTTCAATTAATTGTGCTTTAGTAAGCTAACTTAAATAGATATATATATACCTTTAGAAGCAAAATTAACAGTAATACAGTGAGCAGATATTTTCAAGGGAACAGTTGTAAATTTTAACAACAAATGCTGTCTTCTCCAAGATAGTAACATTACTTATTTAAATATAAGCAACATTAATTCTATAGCTATCCTCTAAATTTTTTCTCAAAGTTCTTATTGTATTCAAAACTTCTAATTGCTTCAGGGTGTTTGTAGCTAATGAAAGCATAATGTTTCATTCATTTGAATTTTACTCTTTCTGAGGTCCATAAAGCATAATTTTATTTTTGTAAAACCATCCTTCCTTCTGTTATAGGAAAGTTTCAGGTATTTTCCTTGGCTAATTAAGAGGATAAAAAGAACTGCATTAGAAATTGTAGCATATTATTAGATGGTATTCTGTTTGAATTGCAAACTTGGGAATGCATCAATATAACATTAAGTAAAAAGCAAAATATGCCATTTAAAACTTAATTGAGAAATTCATTTTTATAGCCTTTTAAATTTTTAATATCCTAACTTAGATAAATTTAATAAATTGTTTAGTATGCATAAGTTTGTGTAACAGTTTTGCTGATTAAACAGTCTGTTGCTTGTTAAAATTTATGATATTCTTTTTGCATTCAATGTTATAATTGTATTTTGTTTGCTTAGGTGTGAGAGGTTAACTGCTGCTTTATTTAAATTGTTTAATTTTGTTTATGTAAGCAGCACCAGATCAAAGGGAAGGCTGTATGAACAGCTGTATAAGAGCTTGGCTTAATAAGCTGTCAAATTCAATAAAGCTGGCAAAATTAATTTGAATGAAAGCATAACTATATTAATCTCTTGGTGCTTTAAAAAAACCACTATTGACAGCCATGCAGGTGCTCACGATAGAGAAATGTGTTTGTCTATCTGTATGCTCTTCTTTTGCTTTTTGAAATATATTCCTGTAAAAATTAGCAATGCTATAGATTTATTCTGATGTAGTAACATTATTGTAAAGATGTCAGAATTTATTTTTAGGAAAACAGATTTGCTACTGTACATTGTATTTTCCAATGCCATTAGACGTACATTAAGTGGAGAAGTTATTATTAGCAATTGGAATACATTATTCAAATCACACGAAGAAAAATCATCATTAATATTGTGTGAGGTAAGCAACTGTATCATTTTATATTGTGGTGGTTGAAAGATTTTAATTTCTGCTTTGACATTTTGAGATTTACTCATGCATATTTTTTCAGTTTTTCTCTATTTCTGCATTTCTAAATCAGTAAGAGAATTGAAGTGTAATTTATTCAGCATCAAATTGGAAAAGAAACATACCAGTATAGATTTAAAGCTAGACAAAAAAAAAAAAAAAAAAAAAATAGCCTTAGTATGTTATTTGACTATGCCAAACTAAGGTTGATTTTTTGCTAACTTTGCATTAAATGTTTTTAGCTCATGTTTCAGTGTTTGAACATGAAAGTTATGTAAGTGTAGTTTAAATAAATCAATCATGCAGCAATCTTTTCTGTCTTCTTTCTTTCCTCCCCTCCCTCCAAATTGGTTAGAAATTTCTCGCAATCATGCAAAAAGCAACTGAGTTTTCAAAATAGTTGTGAACATTTTATCCTTATTTAAAAATGAGTTCTTGGATAATCTTACATTCTCCTTTTCCTATCATAATTCATTAAATTGAACTTGGATAGGTAGGACTAAAATTAAAACTTACTATTTGAGTTTTACTTTGTGTTAGATAATTTACAATCAGTACATTAATAGTTAATTATACTGAGTTTACGTTAATTGAGCAGCTAATTCTTATTAATTCTTTTCATATTTTCATTTATTTTTTACTCTGCTTTATTATTTATAAATGAGTATCATATTTTAATATATGCAAAAATGTTTTCATTCATATATGAATTTATAAGTCTTGATAGTAATGGAAATAACAGAGGCTCAAATGTCAGTTCAGTATTTCACATTCAGTGAAGATTGATTGTAATGAATATGAGCACATTGTTTGTAAAAGTATTTACACTCAACCAATAGTGATAAAAGGCCTGCTTAGCTGACATCTCTGTTTTTTATGCTTGACATTTTGACTATGAATTAACATTTTTTTAGGAATATTTTTTGCCAGTTCATTGACAAATATGTATTTTACAAGTTATTGTTTGAATACATTCCTACTATTTGAGTTTCTGACCATAAGGTCTTCCTTGATCAAAGCGTAAAGATTTCAAAATTGTTTCTTTTTTGCAAATGAAAAATTATATTACATCGAAAATTACTTTCACCTTTTTAGGATATGAATTTTTTTGTTATGCGGTGCTAAATTTGGCAACTTCTCAGCATTTTGAGGATTTTTAAATCAGTGTGTATTTGAGATTTTGGATGTGAACATTTGTGAATTTTTCAACAATTTTTTTGATGAACATAAAAACATTGGTAAATGTAATTCAATGTTGCTTAAGAAATTACATTAAAATAAAACAATTTTGTTTTCTTCTGTCATATTTTGATTCTGAAAACCAAACAGATAAATAAATGCTATAAAGTGTAGTTTCCAAAATTATTCTTACCAAAAGCAAAAAAATTGCTACAATAATTTTAAAACTAATTTCATTTCTTGTATATTTTTTTGTAATAAGAATTTTTTCCTGTGTAATATTTTCAGAATACTCAAATGTGTATCAGTTTTCTCAGTAAAATTCTAGAATTATTTTTGTTAACATATTTGTCTTCCCTTTATTTTCTCTTCTTTCACTAGCCATAAATATGGAAAAATGGAAATGTGGTTCTTATTTTATCACATGGATAGGTAGAAAAGAATTTTTCTATTAATAAAGAAAATGAAAACTGACAGTATAAAAAATTCATCTTATATGTCTCTGTGCACAGAGCTGGTGCTAGGCATTTACCACCTGGTGCAATCTCTGTGGTTCTTAAATTCTGCTGTCCTGTGCTTCCTTAAAGTCTAACAATTTTGCCATCCTTAAATTTTGTTGTCCGCTGCTTCAATAAATTCTAAAAATTCTGCCACATGGCTCTGGTGTCAACCTTAACCATATATCATTTCATAGTTACTCTCAATATTCATATTGTTAAAGAAACAAAATTAGCAGTTTCTTCTATACATTCTTAAATGCATGCAGTTTTTTTAGAATAATGGAAATCTTTAATTAAATCTGAAAATTCTAAAGAAATCTGTCTGTTCAGATCAGTGGCTCTTTCTGTCTCTAAGCAAGCAGGAGTTGTTAATTATGATTTTATTTTATATTTTAATCTGTATCATTTGACATGATATTTGAATAAACCTGTGGACTGTGTGAAACGAGGCATAAAAGAAGGAATAAAACTAATTATTAGTAAAATTTAAATGATATATATCAGTGACGATAAATGATGATTAAATTATATGTCTGTAAAATATATGGGACTATTATAAGTGTAAATGTTGTATTTGATAAATTGCACAATGCTGATTTTTTTGGATTTTGTTCTGCAATTATATTAAATATTAGATTATGTTTAATAACAATGTGTCTTGTTTGTAAATCTGTTTCATTCTTAGAGTGGTATTAGAAGTTCATGCCTAGATAATTGCTTTAATTTATTCAGTACCTATTTCTAGTAGGTCCTTAATTTTTTTTTTTTTTTTTTTTTTTTTTTTTTTTTTTTTTTTTTTGTTATTGGACTTTAAAATCCTTAGAGGTACTTTAATCTCTATGTGCAGAAGTGTGTATAAACCCTGAAGTTCAAATGTGATTTAATGTTAAGTTACATGAATTCCATAATTATGCTCTTAAATTAGTTTATTTGAATATAACAATGCACATAAGAGCCATCTGTCCAAGTGGAGGGAAGCCTTTATGTTGGATTTGCTAAGAGAAACTTACTTGTATTCATAATACACTTGGGTAAAATCATGAAAACCAAATGTGCAACCAGCTTGTTTGCCTGGGATCAAACCATGGTCAAGCTCCTTTTATTTAGCAGTCTAAACAACTCAGCCATTAGTAGTGCCTGTTGTTGTGTATCTGAAATTCCAGTTTGCACTGTATTGACTTTAATGCATATTTTATATATATATGAGTAATTGTTTTATTTTCTTAAATATGTTATTTACTTTTTGTGAGCAATTTTTATAAATTTAGTGCATAGCTATTAATTATGGGTGTAAGTGTTGTTTTGCTTCCTGTTACAGTTGCTGAAAGATGTTATCCCAAGTTCTACGCCTGATATGAAACTTTACTTGAAGAACTTTGCTAGGTACTATCTTAAAATATAACTTTATGCTAAAAAAAAGAAAAAAAAAAAAAAAAGTAGTTGCATTAGATATGTTAAGTATCTGATTGTGATTTTGATGTAGGAAAAAATTACCTCTTTAAGTGCTGTAACAACCTGTTTTATTATAAAATTTAAGTATATGACTAAATAAAGCATTTTCATAGTGAGGCAAAAATACCTAATTTAGAAGTTTCCACTCATATAATTCTAAAACTGTGTATGGAATTTTTATTCACTTGCAGAAGGAGTTTTGATTAAGTGCAAAAAGTTAAAAGTGTTATAATGTCATAGTAATTTTGTGATAAATTAGTGAAAAAAAATTATACACCACTGTATACATAAATTTATATTTATTCATTATAATACCCCCAAGAAATGTTTTTAATTGAATGTTGCGAACTGTAATATTATTAAAAACAAATCATTTTTACAGTTCTAATAAAACAGTTGCCCTTACTTACAAGCTATTCCTCATCTTAATGCTTTTTAATTTTTTTATTACATATAGAAAAAATACTAAAATTGTTTAAAACAGAATTAGATTTTTTATATCAAACAGCAGATTGACTGTACAAATGAATTTTTATGCTATACATAAATTTAATGTGCGTTTAGCCTTTATTTACTTTACTATTAAATATAGATTCATGAGGGGAAAAACTGTGTGCTTTCATATAGGAATAGTTGGTGAAAATCATACACATAAAAAAGCAAGTTAATAATGTAATAGTTATACATAATCATTAAATAATAGTGCTGTTAAACTAGTTGAATCAGTTAATTAAACCATGTATTAAAAAAAGAAAGTTTCAGATTTTATATTACTACCAAAGGAATGTTTTTTTAATGTTTTGTATGTTACTTTTATTTATTAAATATAATGTTCTTCCCTCTGAAACCATAAAATCCAATTCATCAGCAATATCACAGAATAATTTAAAAAGAGGATATCTTTAGAAGTTCCAGTACACAGTCTCGCGAGCTGAAGATAATTTTTTCCCCCTCTGTACAATGTTGCCATTGCTCTCTTTGAAATCGTTGAGTTTTTTAATTAAGCATTTGTTAAACTTTTACAAAATATGAAATAGATAATAAAACGAATTCTAAATTTCGGCGGCCAGATGCCCATATTTGAGCAAAGGACTACTTTATTCAAAATTTGATGTCTCTAGGTACCGTTGTTTTTACACAGTGAGAAACATACACTCATCCAGATTCTTCATTATTTAATTTCTGTAAATATAATGCAGGGCTCTAATGTTTGGTGGCAATAATTTGAAAAGTGAAACAACGTTTATAGTGAACCAATGCAAAATGCCAACACGAAATTAATAGCCCTTCTGGCCAGATTGTCCCCTTGGGCTAATAATTATGTTTAATCAAACTTAATATTAAAATTTGCAAAACTCAATTATGTTACTATTTTTCATAAACACTTTTCAAGATGGATATGTATCTTCTTGAGATTTTTACTATCTGCTGCATTGTTTATAAGCTGGCATAAAATTGCTTAAGGTCATGTGGAAAGTGTTTTCTTAGGACGTGCATGGACGCATTTACTTTTTAACAGTATACAGCCACTTGTATAATCACTTAGCATAATGTTGGTACATTCTGCCTTTGCTATTTATGCAGTAAAAATGTTGTGGAAACTGTGGGTCACCACTGTGTTGAGTGGCTGAAGGTAACGCATCTGATTCCGTATAATGTTTGGTGCATTTGTAAGGTTGCATAATACTTACTGCATTTTAAACACAAAACATGTTCGTTACAATTACGGAAAGCTCTTTACATATATATATTATTCATGGATAGCATAGAACAGTTATGGAAGTGAATTATAGTCCTCATGACATGAGAAGCTTGCCAGGGAGGTCCTCTCTAGTCAAGAGTTCAGGAGCCTTCTGCCGTGTTATTCCACTGGAAAAAATCTTCAGGCTGAATTTGCCGTGCCTCCTTAATTTTTCAGTGATATTTTTCATCCTCTGATTTGTTATATCTGGAATGATATCGGAGGAATAACAAAATCAATGGTTTGTCAACCCTCCTCAAATCGAGAGGCTTTGGTGACAGACACGGTGTAGAACGTTAAAATCGCTTGACTTGTCATGAAGGTATGTCTCTTGCACTATCAACTGGAATAAATTATTGTATCTGCGATGTCAGAAACATGTCGTGTGACACATCATAAAAGCTTGGAAACATGACTTGCGGAAACTGCACGCACGGTTTTTACATCTCTGTGTGGTCCGCCGCATTGTGTATTTTAACCCGCGAGCACGTGCGCCAAAGTTATGAACATGAGATGACACGCTGGGTATGTCATATCCGAAAGCAATTCACATGTTTTAAATTACATTAATGATATAAATTTGAGTATAAATGTGAATTAACATAAAGAACAATGAACTTTAGAATATTTTAAAGAATATAATAATTGATGTACTTAACTTACAATTATTCTGCACATGGCAGATTGAACACATATGCTCCATACAAATACTGATATAACATTTCTCGTGCAGAAACCGTGTCTTTCTGTCCTTGTTTTTAGGGCTCTCAGCTTCGCTTCTGTAAATTTGTTTCATCTTTTTAGATGGTGGTTCCATGTTGCAATCTCCTGAAATTATTTTTCTTTTAGTTTCAAGGGGAGCATGATTTATTCCCACCATTGATTTGAGTAGTCTTCCACTAACTTCAGTCCTAATGGTTTGAGAAACGAAATCCTGTTTCTAAACTTAATTGGCTTTTTTTTTTTTTTTTTTTTTTTTTTTTTTTTTTTTTATAAAGTACTGCAACATTTAAAATCAAGGGGAAAAAAATCACCATAGGTCACCATTTCGATACTCTAGCTGTAGAATATGCTGCTCCCATTTCATCTACAACAGCTACTGCTCCTTTGGTTACATTATGAAATGAAATAATCTCCGGCTTTTTTAGTACTCCAGTGGTTTTGTCAATTTTATTATCGTTGTACATAGTTGATTGTAGGATAACATTTCTGTTTTTCTTTGGTGTATAAGAAACAATCGTTGTTTCTTTCTGGAAACCAAATATTAAAGAATATGTTTCCCATTTCTTCGTTAGAAAATCTGGCGGAATTTCTCTCTTATTCTTACAGTTCCAACGATCAATTTTCACTTAAAAAAACATCCTAGAATTGCACAAACTAGACATTGCACACTGCCTTAAATTTGTCCATGTACACATCAATCTATTTTCATTTAAATAAAATCAAAAAGGTAAAACAAAGTAAAAACTATCATGGTAACCAGAAGTGATGTTTCATCACCAAACTTTTAAAAAAATTGTCGCTATTCTAAGGGGCACCCAATTCTACACTAGAGCCGTTATTTTCTTCCTTAGTAAGTCCTGAGATAGTTGGCATCCTATATACCAATTATCTGCAGTCAAATTCCATCCAAAATTGTACAAAGTTTCCATCAAACACTTTACAATAACGCTTGCATTGTTATCAAACTGAAACGGCCCCTCTGGCTGCTGGCGGGCGTATATTTCCATTTTCCATGTTTAAAACATTCTGGAATCAAGCAGTACAAATATTTTTATACCATATTTGGCTTTTTTTGGGGGGGGGTGTTGTATTTCCTGCATGAACATCATCCCCTGAATGGTTCTAATTTTTCATCATTTGTTACATATTCACCTACAGTATAGGCTTTCTGACAGTTCTCGATGAATTTTTCAAAAAACTGTCTTGTGGGAGCGAGTTTATCCACATCTCTTCTACTCGGATATCATCAAACCAAAGGCATGTAGGAAAGGGAATCGCTTGCAGGACATTGTTTTTTGGAAAATATCCATTCTAGTTCCATCTGTTCCCACAAATCTTTTACATTGACGTGAGAGGATTTGTTAACACCAATACAAAAGCCCCAAAAGTGGATTCATTTCACATCCATTTTCTTTGCATCACGCTCAAGTACAAAAAGCTCCTGAATGGAATCTATGTAAATATTTGTACATTGAACTATCATTTCTATCTTGTCTTTGTCAATGAGCAGAGACCGGGTATCCTATGGTGCTGATGCATCTTTCGAATAACCAGCATATCCTGGAATTTTGAAGATAATGTTTTTAGAGCTAGTCCTAATATTTGTTCGGAATTTGTTTTTCTTCCATATCGGGCAATTTTTACCAACATAATTTTCATCATTTGATTGATTTTGTAATTCACTATCTAATTCAGTGTCTGTATCACTGTCTGTTGATGAATTTTGATGGCTGTTGTATTCTTCACCTATTAATTCTTCCTCCTCTTCCCTAAACAATTCATCATCTGTTGAAATGGTTTCAAGCGTATTTCTCAACCTTGCCATTTCCTTATCATAACTTAGATGCCGTGCCATGCTGACTGTCTAAAAAAAGGAGGATGAAAATCTGAGAGACACGAGAAGGCGTGCGGGTATCACATACCCAAATGCTACAATTCCTAGAAAAGTATTCGAAGAATCACTCCACGGACTTCCCACCTTCAAGAATGTGACTTTGAACTCAGCTTCAAAAGGTTTTGCCCATTTCCAGGAAAGGGATTTGGAGATAAAGGGCAAAGAATATGCCCCTGGATATAAGATACCCAGCGTGCGTGGTCGCAGGTTAATAGCACTGTTTTCAACAATAACAGTACATGTGTTATTCTTAATAATAATATGTATTTTAATAAACAATAACAGTGTTTAACAATAGCAATGTGTGTGTTATTGTTAATAATAATGTGTATACACATTATTAATTTAATACACATTATTTATAATTTATTGTGTATTAAATTACATATTATTTTAATAATGTGTATTAAATGTTATTAAATTGCACATTTATTGTTTAACAATAAATGTATGTTTTAATAACAGTCCACTTTTGGGAATTTAACTTACTAATAACATAATAACTTTGTTATTTCATCTTTGTACTGGAGAGAAATTTTCATCACATCTTTTATATTTACCACATTTGACGGCATATAAGATGCACTTTTTTTCCTAAATTTGGTCTCAAAAAAGTTACCTGCTTCTTATACGTGAAGGGCACAGGTTAACTTTCAATACTGAATGCTGTTTTTAGCCCGGATAAAGGTCTAGACACACATATCTTTTTCTATATCTGCCATAATTATTTTGCGCATGCGTGAAATATCTTTCGCCAAAAAGCGCCAAAGCTTGAAGCTGATGTCAAAGTTTGAACAGGTTCGACGGTCACATTACGTCTATGGAGCCTTTCCTTCTTTACATAGAGTTTCTTTGACTCAACCGACACACGTGTCGGTATCGGTGCTACTCTGTATAAACGTGTCGGTATCGGTGCTTAAAACTATTTGTTTTAAAAAAATACCCTGGAAAATATGACTACAGGAAACAAGAAATTAAGCTATACAATTCAGTATAAACTAGGAGTGTTAAACTACGCCAAAGTGCATGGAAACAGAGCAGCAGCAAGGCATTTTGGTCCACCACCTACCGAAAAAAAATGATACGTACTTTGCGACTGCAGGAAGATCAACTGAAAACTACTAAAAAACAAAAACATAACCTTCAATGCCCAGCTCCATCTTGGCCTGAACTTGAAAATGCCGTAAAAATGTGGGTGATAGATAAGAGGAAATCTGCGATAAGTATTTCAACTAAAATAACAATCAATGTGGCCAAAGGATGCGCAGAAAAACGGGGGAATCAAAACTTTTCAGATTCTGAGGGCTGGTGCTACAGGTTCATGAAAAAGTAAGGCTTATTAATGTGCACAAAACAACTATTGCACAGAAAATGGCAGCAGATTACGAAGAAAAAATACTAGCATTTCATATGTTTTTTATAAATGCACGCAAGAACACTTCTTTTGAGCTCAGTCAAATAGGAAATATGGATGAAATTCCACTCACATTTGATGTACCATTCAACAAGACTGTAAGTATTAAAGGGTCTAAATCAATAACCATAAAAATCACAGGTCATGAAAAAACCCGATATACGGTAGTTCTAACATGTTGTGCTGTTGACAGCACAAAACTACCGCCTGTTTTTCATATTCAAAGAAAAACTCATTCCGAAAGGAAAACTTCCAACGGGTATAATTGTTCATGTTCACCCGAAGGCTGGATGGGAAGCTGGAATGAAAGTGTGGTTACAGAACGTATGGGCGATGTGACCTGGTGGACTCTTAATAAAACCCTTTCATTTGGTTTTGGATCAGTTTAGCACCCATAGAACTGAAACCATAAAGAATAAAGCGAGAGAATTAAAAACCCAGATAGCTTGCATTCCTGGTGGATTGACTAGCCAATTATAACCTTTAGATATATTGGTGAATAAGCCATTTAAGGAAAAAGTGTGAGAACAATAGAACAAGTGGATAGGAGAGCCACATCACGCCCTCACACCCAAGTAGAATGAAGCGGCCCTCTATTTCACAAGTGTGCGAGTGGGTAAAAAGATCTCGGGAGAATGTAAAGCTCGAAGTAATTGTTAAGTCCTTTAAGAAGTGCGGAATCAGTAATGCTCTTGATGGAACAGAAGACGATGCATTATTCGAAGAAGGTGATACAGTCAAAAGTTGTTAATTTGGACACCCATAATCAGGAATGATCTATAATCCGGACCTCAAAGCTAAAATCTTTCTGTGCATGCGCATAGCCGTTTTACGTGTGCGCGCAAGACATTTACGACTGCGCATATGTGTCTGCGCAAGCGCAGATTACGTTTTCGCGTGCGTGTTTATTGTAAAACGACGGTATAAGCTAAAATTATCTAATTATCTATTTCAGTTAATGTTGATGATTGCGTTGTTCCTTAATCTTCGAATTGGATCCGGCTTATTATTTTTTGCAGACTGTAAGAGCAATTTTATAAAAGTAAGCTTGAACTTTCGATTATGTCAAATAGAATTTCCGATGCTGGAACTCCCAAAGGATCTAGAAAACGAAAGTACGCTTCGATGTCCATCCAACAAAATACGAATTGCTATAAAAAATGGGTAAAGGCATATCCTTTGTTTATCTAGTGGTTCTGAAATCTGTTTATCAATTTCACGCTGCTCTGCGCGCGGGGGGGGACGTCGCGGCACGCAATGAACTGGAAGTTGATCTGTCAGCACTATCCTTATCTTTAAGGCAGATGTTTTTATTTTATTCGGCTCATAATTCCTTACTAAATGTAGTATTTAATCTCTATGTACTCCGTCTTTGATATGATTTAAATCAAATTCCTCGTCATTATAAATATCACGAATACAAATCAAATAGTTTTTTCTGTTGCCAATTTTCTAATTTCAGCTATGCGTAAGGTATGCTTTACGCATGCGCGCGTTGAAAGAAATGTTTAATAAAGTAAACAAATAAATATTAAGCTTCTTTTTTTGTAAATTTTGATACCCTTTAGATCATAATTGCTCATTATTTTATAAATTACGGTTTCGTATTTTTAATTTTATAATTTCTGCATGCCATCTTACCAGATTTAAAATGATGATCTATAATCCGGAAAAATCGAGAATCTGGAATCCCCGAAGTCCTGATTAAAGACTTTTAACTGTACTAGCAATGATGGAAACAGTAATGATGACGATATTCTCGTTTTCGATGATGATGATAGTGAAAGGGTTTTTTATGGTTTTGAAAGTGATTAAAGTCTAATTTCATGATAGGCAATGTTTTCCTTGAATCTGTATTTTTTGTTGTTTCTGCTTTATTTTGTATTATGTTTGATTGCTTGCCATTCATTCATTTATTCATTATTGAAATTTACATTTCATGTTCAAAATAGCTTGCCATTTGTTAATTTTCCTTAATAAAAATATGTTTGGTAATTGCATTCAATGATTGTTTATTTGGCTTTTACGAAATGTGAGAACTAAAAGAAACACATTTTAAGTTATTGTGGTACTGCGCTGTCGCGCGGACTATTAAAACTTTTTTTCCTTGTGTGTGGCCTTCTAAATAAGGGTCCGTCTTATATGCCGTCAAATACGGTAACTGATTTATTCATCATTTTGTATCCCTTACCACTCTAGAGGTAGAAATATGTGTCTTTTTCCATCAAGTTCTATTAACCCCTTAACTGCTGCGGGCGTATATATACGCCTTGCTCAGCCGATGCGTTAACTGCCCCAGATGCGCAGCCGATGCGTTAACTTTGCGAATAATTTTAGGTGTAGCAGCGCAAATCAAATGATAGCAGTTTGGAAGGACGTATATATATGCCTGGGCAGTTAACGCATCGGCTGAGCAAGGCGTATATATACGCCCGCGGCAGTTAAGGGGTTGAGAACAAATTCAAGTGCAAAACTTAATTTTGAATCATCTTAAATATTTTGATATTACTTGTTTTTATCTATAGATATGTAAAGATTTTATGACTTGTAGGATTTAGAAGTTTGTTATCCTTCTGGTAGATAACTCTTAATAAAAGGGAATGTGGATATAATTAAATTATAATTATATTTGCTTTTTTAGTATATGATGATGATATTCTAAACATTTCAGGTCATTGTGTTTGTCTTCAATACCTGCAAAACAGTTAATGAAGAAATATGACAAATACTTAGCAATGTTGTTTACAAGCGAAGAACTGGAAACATTGTTTGCTTATGGTCCTACTGCAAAGCCAAGTACCGTTTACAAATTTGATAAAAGTTTTACAGGTAAATTGAAATAAATATAAATTTTGTAATGCTTTCTGTCTTATATATATATATATATATATATATATTTCTGTCTGCTTTTGCTGCAAAGTCTGTAGCATATGTGAGACGATTTCTGAGATCTAGCATCATCAGGATTCTGATAATTTCAGATTTTATATCCATGTAAAATTAAAATGTAAATTGAAATAGCAATATTTTCTGGATTTAAAACCATACTACTGTTATTCACAGTTCTGTTAATTGATTGATGATCGAGGCATTGTCATCATAATGTAAGACTTCATTTGTAACTTTGTCATATAGCATTCCTTCTCATATTCCATTAATCAGAAAATTTCTCTTGTGATATCTTTAGATTCATGACTGTCATCATTATCATGAAATTTGGTAGCTGACTATATGTTATGCTAAGCATTTTAAAAATTATCTGCTGGCACATTTCTCATGATCTTGTAGTGCCCCAGAGACATTTATAGAATTCTTTTGCTATCTTACTGCTGCAGCTTTTTTTTTTTTTTTTTTTTTTTTTTAAGAACTACTTTATATCTTCATTTTAGTGCACAAAAAATTCTGATTTTTCATTGGCTCATTAATGAATATACAGTTTCATTAAAAGAATAAAATGGAGACATTGCCATTTACTAAAACTAATTTTGATGAGATTAATAATAGTAGGTTGAAAGAAATAATAAGCTACTTCAAATCAGAAAGTTAAGGAAGAGCAAACTTGTGTTAACTGAACTTCAGTTTTTTGGAATCTAGAGCACACCAGTGGCTAAGCGGTAAAATTGCTGAACACTGGTAGTTCAGATCTGGGTTAAATTCCATGTGAACGAGCTGGCTACATTGGCATTTTGGGGATTTTTCTCTGTGTATGACGTGTATACAAGCCAGTTTTCATAAGAAAGTCCTCCATGAAGGTATCCTTTTGTAGGAAAGTGTGCTTTGCCACAATCAACTAAATCAAAAAAAGAAAAATTCTTGGAATCTAATTATTTCTCTATTCCCCGTGGTTACCCCAACAGAAGAAAATCAATATGAGCAACATATCATTCCTAAGAAATATTCATGGAGTTTTACTGACTGTGTCAGGTAAAAATTGCTATACCCTCCATGCACAACCACTCAAGGGCCAAAATTATAAGGTCAGTTTTGGTATTGTTATTGGCCGTAAAGCAGTTGTGTACTCAGCAGGTACTTAAAAGTGGCATATGGTAATATCAACTGGAAAAAAAAATTGCTCTTGCTGCTCAGCTGGCTTTTTCTTGAGTATTATATTCTCCATTTCTAGATTTATAAAGGGGGAATTTTTTGTTTTCTTTTGATCTAGAGGTCCAGATTTTAGACTTAGTTCTGCAGTAATCGAAAATGTACTTTAGATAATTATTTTATAGCACATATTAGACTAATAGACTGTTTTTGGTGTCATGTAATGGAAAATAATTAGTGCACTTTTAGGCCAATTAATTATTCCAGGTTTCATCATTGATTTGTTAGAAGATAATTGTTTTCATTTTTAAACAGCAATTTATAATTACATGTGTATTTTTTTTTTTATTTTGAAGTATTCATGGCAATTATAAGTAAAGATTTTAATTGATATAAATTTTGTGTAACCATAATTGAAATTTTTGGTTTAAATTGAGGAATTATTTTTACAAATAACTAAAAATTGATATATACCCCAACTGCATTCATCTTTTTTTAACCACATATAATATGATAATATAGTTAAATAATAAAATAAAATAAAAGTGTAATAAAGATTTACAATAGGTAAAGTGAGTAATATTTCATTGATTAAAAAAAGTTATCAGTGTGTGCACTAATAATCTATTTTTTACATTTTTTGGAAAAAAATAATTAGTATAGTTTTGGTTACTGCATTTATAATTATGAATTAAACTGCAGCCAGTTAAAGAGAAATATCCTGGCAGTGTAGGCATAAATTTGCATTGTCTATACTACAGATATTCAACGGTAGGAGGCTATAAATATTTGAAGTTGAAAATACTTTTATAATATCAGTATAAAATTTATAATATCAGTTTTAATAATTCTAATACTACCTATGCAAGTGTTATCTCACTTGGCTCAGCAAGCTACAGCTGTTAAAAAAATTAATCAAATTTTATTCATATGTGTTTGGGCTGTAGTACAATTTTTAATTGCTTAAGTTATTGTCAATAGATATTAACAGAATTCTGGAAAATAATTCTTTTAGATGACTTTAGTGTTCAGATTGCTGCTTTTGAAAGACACTTATTAACTTGCACTGAAGCAGTGAATATAAAACAACTTGTGAATCAGCTAAGGGCAAAATATAATCATCAGCATTTGTGGACGCTTAATAAAAAGGTAGACTTTTAAATATGTCTAGTTCACATAGCTTAAATATGTCTAGTTCATATGCTTAAGTTATTGCTTTTATCAATCAATAAATAAGGAATGTTGGTCATAAACTCTATGGATTATGGCTTATATTTATTCACATATACTGTAGAAAAGTTATATTTGTCTATTGATACAAAAAGAAGTATCCATTTGTGAGAATTGCTCGTATTTATTTAGATATATAGTAAATAAGTTTAATTTGTTTATGTAGAAAGAAATATGCATTTGCAAGTGGCCATTAAACTGTTATACATAGAAACATTAATGAATCATTAATCAATTATTTGGTGACATGAATTAATCTAGTTTTCTTTATAAACAGCATACCATCTTGCTATTCGTTAATAGTAACAACTCATTGTAATAATTTAATTTATGCATGACAGTGTATTTAAACACTTTGTCTTTATAATTCTAATGCATTAATGAATTTGAAATTTAAGATGCATTTAGAAAAATACATCTCAAATTTCGTTAATCTGAAAAACATTTTTAGAATAGAAAATTATCATAATTTATGAATATTATAGAGATTGTTTAATTGTTAAAAAATTGCATATATGTATATAAAATTAAATTATTTAATTAAAGTAGTAAATTAAATTTCTGTAGAAATTTAAAAGTATTATTTTCTATGTAAAAAATTTTATATTATATTTTTTCTTATTATTGAACTCCCTATTTTTTTATTTACAAATTAGGTTTATAGCTAGCTTTTCATACATTGTTAAGCTTTTTTTATGTGTAAATTTGAATGAAAAAATAATTTTTAGTGGGAATCACCTCGTCCTGTTAGTATTTTCTTGAAAAATGTTCCACCTAATATTGACCAGGAAATGATACACATCTTATTGCCAAAAGCTGCGGAACTCCGAGCAATCAAGGTACTTTTATTTTTTTTCTTTAGTTTTTATATGTTTATTTATTTATTTTTGAATTTATTTACAACATATACTTTAATGAGTAGTAGTAATTCATTTCTTGTTTGTATGAGTTTTTGATGGGCATCAGAATGTCTTAAATTTAATCATTTTAACAGCTTGAGAAATTTTCAAATAGTAAAATTTGTTTTTCTTAAGGTTGTAGTTGCTTTTAACAAATCCAGAATCTTTGGAAATGATTAAAATGCTTTAAACTGAGCTTGTTAGATTAAATACTTCAATTTCGGAGATGTTTTTATGAATGTTATACACACATTTGTGATTTAAACAAATATAATTTGGGAGTTTTTTTAGCTTTTTTTTAATAAAAATTTCTAATACTTGACTATAAATAAGAGTCTTAATTTGCTTCACATTTTTAACAGTGTGGTTTTAATTTCCCTGTGCTCTGGCCAAGAATATGTAAGAAAAATGAATACTATTGATTTTATAAATAAATTCTAAAATTTTGATATTTTTTTGCTACTGTGTGTGTCATAGCCCTTGACAATGATTGCAAATCAAGATTTCAAACATAAAATTAATCTTTATAGAGGCTGTAGTGTATTATTTGCATATTCTTGTGTCATCCCCTCAGTAACATTTTTGTGATGAATATTTTCATTAACTTGATTCTAAGAGGCATATTTAATTTGAAACACTTTTTTTATTTGTAATTTATCCAAATTTCTTATTTGTACAAATCCTTTTCTTATTTGTAATTCATTTCTCAGATTCAAGTGCAGTGGCTGTCTAATTTTAAATTAAAATTTTACTTTTCTATTACCATATACCTTTTTTGTTTGTGATATTACAGATTTTTATGAACTGTGTTTAAACTTCTTTACTTGCAGTGTTCAATTGAGAAATTAAATTTCAATATTATTGTAAATTTGAACCCCCCCCCCAATCCAGCACTCTACAGACAATTATATTTGAACCAGGTAGATTTTGAGGCCTTTCAATGTATTTTGTTCTCAATAATAAATTTAATGAGCCATTTTTGTTCAGTAGGTAAGTTAATATTTAATCAACAAACATAAAACACTACAGCTGTCTATCTAAAGAAAGGTATGCTTTTGTAGAGAACATTTTAAGGGAAGAATAAATGATATAGAGCATTACCATCCTTTAGAAAGATGTATACTGTTGTGGGAAGATACTTCTCTGTTAAGAAAATTCAAGGGAAAGTCGTCATGTGTGAAACTTGTAATAACTAAATTAGACTGTTAAGGGATATTAACATACTCTCTGTAAAAGAAGTGTATGAAAGAGCATCGTCAAAAATGGTATAATTTGGGTTGCAATGTAAACAGATTTAACACATCTTTCAAACATTTGATGTAATACCACATTTTGAGCAAAATCTGTCTGAGCATTGAAACTTATGTTTCTTTGAAACTGAAATATAACCCTCTTATGATCCAACTGTATCTTTTTTGCAAGTTTCCTCAACCTTTAACTTTCAAATTTTCTTTTATTATGATTTTATGAGGCCAATATTTTCAATTAAAGCTATTCAAAATAATGCAGCAACCAATGTACGACAGACACCAAAGACATATTCTTCCATTGAAGTTAAAAGCAGATATATGAATGTCGCTTGGATTGTGATTAGGTAGTAATGTTTTGCATTTCAAATTGAACTGTCCTGCAAGCATGTTTCATGAACTTTTTTGTTAGTTAATCAAAGAGATATGCATAGTCAGTATTTTCATAGTATTTTAATTAAGAAAATGCATCAAATTTATTTACAAACTGCTCATAATATCTTTAATGTAAAAGTTCCTTTGTGGACTCTTCATAACATTTCTGAAAATTATTTATATGTAGAAAGCTCCTTTCATTGGAAGAGAATATACCAATGTAAAATGAAGCAAAAAAGCAACATTAGTTTTTGACTATTTTCAGGTTTTTTTTTTGTTTTTTTTTTTTTTTTTTTTCCAAGGAAAAAAAGAAAGCATTAATCAGAATCTACATCAAACTAAGATTGCTTTTTGGCCGAATTTTAAATGGTTGACTGAAATTAAAACCAAACTGTTTGGCAACATTTCTCTGTCACTTGGGAATTTTTATAATCTATTTTGTCCTTATTTGGCAAATTTATCATTTGTTTGGTGACTTTACTTCAGCTTAAAAAATTTGTTCTATAGTAGTTTGATCATATTAATCGAATTATTGATCACAGTAAGCAATGTATTTTTGATGTTTTTATATACAAATGAGTGGTATTTTGACAGTTTTATAACAATATCTGAATGATAATGTAAGCCATGATTGCATTAAGCGACATCTGCTGCTGTGTTGTTTTCATGATTATCTACTATATACATGTGTATTAAATGACAGTACATTCATTTTCTTTACGAGGGAACATTCACTCTCTGAATCTGTTCCTGTCTACCCTTCGAAGCTTTTTTACTAACTCTGCAGTTTTCCAAAAATATCCAAAGTTACTACAAAGTATTGACCCAAGATCTGATTGGTCTGAGCCTAATAAAGATCTCCATCCACAAAGATAGGACCTCTGCTACATGTATTAGCTCTAGAATTGCCACAATTATCCAAATAGTAAAGTACAGCTCAAAAAACCTTTTTTGATCTAATTAACAATTCGCAATTTTGCTTTAATTTGGCATGTATTTGTGCATCCATGGCATATTGACTTTTTATAAGTCTTTATCTCTCAGCATTTGAGTCTTTATCCATAAATGTAACTGAACATCTGGTTTTCTACTTCCTTTTATACACTGTATCCTTTTAGCGGGCACTTTTGTGTATGTTATTTATTAACTAATAATTTATGCTTTATACTGATGCTACACATTGAGCATTTATTGTCAATATTTTTTGTGTTGATTTAGTATGTGCAATTTTGAATTTGTGTATATGAATATCATATATAATTTAACCTTTTATTTATCACAGAAATATGGCGAAGCGCGTCTACTGTATCAAATGATCCACAGTGAAGTCCGTAATGCATCCCCTAGATTAAGTCGTTTTTTGAATTGGGAACTTTTACGTTTGGATTTGCTTGAGGTTCTTGACACTCCAGTGCACATTTGCCAGTCCTCATCTTACAGAACTGAAATAGTTCAACGAATATTATCTTTGTTAGTTTCATATAAAAAAGAAAGAGGTAAGTCCAAGAATCAAGTTCCAGTTTATAACAATTTACTAAGTACTAATTTTATTTAATTTCTTTAAATGCGTAATTTTATAAACAGTAATTACTTTTTTTATTTGCAGTATAAGTTTATAAAACTAATATTTGTTCTTTCGTATGCAACATAGGAACAAAATGTAGTGTTAGTTTTTTTATTGAATTTAATTTGAATTAATGGTATTTCCGTTTTCAATAGAAGTACCTCCAGATCCGAATTTAATGGAACTTTGTTCTGCAGTTCTACTAAATTTTAGAGAGTGGGATAAGTTAATTGAAGTTGATCCTAAAATTGATGCATATATTCAGGTCTGTTTTTTTTTTTTTTTTTTTTTTTTTTTTTATTTATAATCTCTATATTAACTGAATTTTTTTAATATCCTTAAAATTATAAGATGTGTAATAAATTCATCTTCATGATTTTTTCATGGAAGTTTTTTTTTTAACTCTATTTAATTGGCTGAGTAAAAAAAAAATCTGGATTTTTATGCCATAAAAATATTATGTATTATTTCATTCTGGTGTGTTTACTAATTCTTCTTTGTATTCAAATTTATTCAAAATTAATTCTTAATTAATATTCTTAGAAGTATGTTCATTATATACCAAAAGGAATTTTTAAGATAAAAAAATAATTCATAAAGTTATAAATAATTTAAAATATGTCATTTATAAACATTAAAAGCACATATATATTAAATATTTATTAATACACATATATATAAAAATATTTTATTGGTTTATCAAAGTGAATACTTAGTTTGAAAGAAATGCTTTTAATTTTACTTATTACACAAATATTGTTCTTATTGTCATTTGTAAATTTTTGACAGGATTTTGGAGAAATATTTTTCTTCTGATTTTATGCATGGAGAATATGATTGCCATGCATTTTAATTTTGCTTTTGATAGACATAGTTTGTTTTATTTCCAAATTTAAGTTATGATGATATGTGGAACAATACATATATAAAGTTATGCAATAGAGATAAGTATTGACTTTTCCCCCTTTAAATATTGATCCTAGATCTGTGAAAAGTATGGCAGAAAAGTAAGGAAAAAAAAGTGTTTTATGAAACATGGTATGCATTCATAAGTTACGAATCATTAAAATTAATTGTTGTTGTTCTGTTGGAATTACTTTGAATTAAACTTGCTTCATCTGTGATGCATCAGTCAGAATTAACAATTTCTTCAGAAAAAATTATCAAAAGCAGGGAGAAAATAAATGAGATTATTCATTTAGTTTTCATTTCTATTTAATTAAAGTGTTTATGAAAGTAATAAAATCAGCCTGGGGAAAAAATCATCTCAACTTCATCTAGAAGGTATGTATCAATAGAAGTTATAGATAATTCAGCATTTCTGTACAATTCATTTAATAGGACTGGAGAATGTACATAATCCAAATGAAATCTAGATTCAGATAACTCATTAGCAATATATCAGGAAATAAAGTTTTAGAACATGGCCAAAATAATAATATTTGATCATTCTTTTTTTTTTATAAGAGAAAGCAATGAATGAGTTTTATAATCTAGAAAAATGTCAAAATATTGTAAAAGATGCATAGTTTATTGTTTAAAATCTTAAAATAATTGATGTGTTCAGTTAAAAAAGGTCGATAGAGCTTTGGAATGAAATTAAGAATTTTTTTTTCTACTTTTACTACTTTTAGTGTGAATAGTGAAATTCTCTGATTAATTTGATCATTAAATGAAGATATGTATAAAAACCATGCAAAAAATTGTTTCAGTATTTAGTAAAAACTCAATCTAAGTATAATATTGAAAAAATTGCTTTCAGATGTATGCTAACCTCATTCAGTCTATCTATGTCCCAGGTTTCATTACCTAAGTATGTTAATCTATGCATTATGTAATACTCACAGATAAACTTTCTCTTTCATTACTGTAGGTTGCATACATTGCACATAGATTTATACTTATCAAACATAAAATGCTCCATTGGTGTCCATTAAGGGTTTCATAAAAGCAATTTAATAATATTATAAATAAGGTTATCTTCTCCCTCTTTTCTGTTTGTCTTTATGGTGTAATTGCAGTCAAAAGGTCCAGTGTTTGAATTCAGCAAGGACATTGCCCATTTTTTGTCATTATTTGTCTGCTTCGAATAACCTAATGATATCTACAAGTGACACCCAAACTAAAGGATGATGTATGATAATTCATTATCACCAGAGTTTAACGATTAGGCCCCCCTTCAAAAAGAAGTTGCACTTCAAAGGAAGTGTATTACAAATTTTCGCTCTTCATGGTGTAACTGGATAGCACATCTGGCTAGTAATCGGAAGGTCAGTGTTTGAATCTTGGTGAGGGCATTAAACATTTTTCATGTATTCTGCTTCAAATAACCTAATGGTCTCTACAAAACAGTTTATTTTAGCTGTAAGATCCCCTGACCCTCATTGGTATAGTTCACCAATAGCTAAGTGGATGAGACTGCTGAATACTGTTAGTTTGGACCAGGTTTGTATCCATTAAAAAAGCAGGCTGCTTGAAAATTTTAAAAGCTTTTTTTTTTTTTTTTTTTTTTCAGTATGCAATGTGAAGAAAATTCTTCATGAAAGTGTCCCTCTTCACAGATAGAAAACCATCTTCTATACCATATTCAGTGAAACCATCCCCCTTCCCATATTGATGCATTCATAATAGTTAAAATTTCTGAAGTATTAATACAATAATATGTCATTCAGCTTCAACTGTATAAATATGAATTTAAGTAATTTAATCTTTTATTTAAATATACTGCACTTTTTTAATGTATGTATGTTTAGCATACTGTCAATAATCTAAACTAACACGAGAATAAATAAATTTCAGTTTGCAAAAATTGTTGCTGCAGTCTGTAAAGATGTCCTTAGTAAAAGTGCAAGGAATGCTTCTAAAGAGCTTTGGGATATAAGTAAATATTTATTTATTTTATGTGTGTAAAAAATTCAAAGTAGTAATTATAATAAATAATGTAAAAAAAGAGGGAGAAATGCAATATTTCAATGAATTTATGCTTGTTTTTTTTAATTTTCAGCTCTACTCATATATGCACCCTAATATCACTAAATGTGGCGATATGTATTCTGAACTGGTTTTTGGCGCGATTGCGTGTTGTATGGCAATCCTGTTAATGCTGAAAAATCTTTTCCTGGAGTAGTTTAATTGCTCGTTGGTTCATGTTGTGCGTGTTTTGAAATGGCGTATGTTGCAATAAGAGATGTGGTGGGAAGATTTCAGTCGTGTATTTTAGATTGTGTGCAAAGGAAATTTAATATTAAAAGATACGATGTTGGAGTTGTTAACGAGTCTGCTCTGTATAATGCTCTGTGTCTGAGAAGATAGGAGGGGAAGATAAAGTGGTGGAAGTTGAGGACTCGAAGTTAGGCAAAAGGAAATATCATCATGGCTATCCTGTTAAGGGGCAATGGGTATTGAGGTGTGGAAAGAGGGTCTGGGAGATTATTTTTAGTGGCTGTGCATGATAGAAGTAGGTAAACGCTGATGCAGTGTATTAAAGAGTGAATTGAGCCTGGTATAACTTTTTTTTTTTTTTTGGATGGATGGAAATCCTACAAGGATTAATTAAAAGAAGGTTTTGAACATTTATTTGTGAACCATATTATGAATTCTCTGGATAGTGTTTCTGGCTGTCATATAAATAGGATAGTGATTACGTGGCGGCATGTTAAAGGCGGTATGAAATTGTGGTATTCTGCTGTTCAAAAAAGCATTCATTCATGGTAAGTGCATTGTATTTTATTTTATTCTTCTTATTATTTTGTAGAATGTTATGTTCATTGTTTTTTTAGTATGAATTTCTGTCATCGTTGTTTTTTTAATTGTTTGAAATTTATTTTAATTTATTTTGTTGATTAGCGCATAGTGCGTAGATTGTGTAATTCGTAGATGTTTTTTAAAGTTAAAACAGAACGCTGTGTACATGGTATTCTTTGAAATTTATTTTTGTTATGTTAATTAATTTAAGCGAGGTGTCCATAGTTTGTAGATTCGTTCGTTGCCTAAATTGTGCAATTTGTAGATGTTTTTTCAAGTTAAAACATATCACTGTATACATAGATTCTTGTCAAATATTTTTGGTTAGAAACTTTACGTTTCTGCTATCTAAATTTTTTGTTTTTGTTTCGGATTTTTAGCTTAAATTGTGTGTTCAACATGTAGTTTTTGGAGACGTTTTAGGTTATTTTTCGAATTAAAGTTCGAAATGTAGACAAAAAGTAATATGGCAGCGTGGAGTGTTTGATGAGAAATTTGGCGACCTGAGGGCGCATATAAGAGTAGTTCCGAATATTCAATTCAAAATTTAGGTATTATTCTTTACACCTCTGATGAAGATCTAACTGCATTTTACTAGAATTTAAAATTAAAAAAATAAATGTGAAATAGAATGTTTTATTATGATGCATTAGTAGAGAAAACTTTGCTAATTGCATTGCAGTTTGTAAATTTTGTATGGAAGTGAGTGAATCTTTATTAAAAGAGTGGTATTCAGTATAGTGAATTTGAATAACTTTGTTAGTTTAACTTTAGATTCGAAGATTTGCGTTTTAAATGTAAATTTATTAAATGAAGTTTTTGAACCTGCATAACAAAATGTTAATTATGAAATTCATACCTAGCTGTGTGATTTATCTGAGAATATTGTTTATCATGTTTGATGATACAACAGATAGTTATCGCCCTGTAAAAATTTAGTATTTCTATATTTAAATTTAAAATAATTTGGAAAGTAATGAACACACTGAAAATTTAAAACTTGTAATTTTTCTGATATTAACGTAGTATAACTTTCATCCAGTAAGAATGCTTGTGAAATATCTCAGCTTAAGTTTTTAAATGTTATAAAAAATTTTCAAACCTAATTAACTTAATCTTACATCTAAAATTGTAAGTATTAGGCTGGTTTATATTTCTTCCTATTACTTACCAGTTTTTCAGAATTTTAATATAATTATGTTACAGTTGTTCTTTAACCAATCTGAAAAGATTATTAAATAATGAGCTATTCAAGATAAGGAATTTAATAAGCCATCATCTGGCATTTCTAACAACAGAGGTTGTTGATCTGTCAAATCATTATAGCAATCAAATTATTTTTAGTGTGTCAAATTTTCATGATGTAGAACTTCAATTATTATAATTAAATTATTTTATTTTTTCAAAAAGATCATTAATCAAGAAAACTATTTAAACAAACTTATTGAAATTGCTACTGATATATGTTTCACATATCCATTCTTTACATAGTGATATACTATTTATCAAAAATTTTTTAATTAAGTAAAAATATTACAAACTTGTAAAAATTCTGATACTTGCATATTAATGTAACATTTGGTGATTTTAGTATGAAATGAATGATGACTTATAATTGCAGTTAAATTGCTTTTATTATGTTCATCCATATTTTACAATTAATTAGGTATTTATTAAAAAAAATCAATCAATAAACCTACTTATGTGCATTTTTGCTTCTTTTATTCTGAAGGATATTTGGTGGGGATTACTTTAAGAACAGATTTAAAAGCAATTCTCTTTTTAGTGAATTTGTGTTAAAGTATTGTATTTATGCAGAAATTTTATCAGAGTTTATTAAAAAAGTGCATACAAAAATGGACTTTTTCTTTATTAAAACTGAAAATTTGCTGTCATGGTTGCCTAAATAATTGTTGTGCACATGATTATTACTTTGCCACATTCTGAAAATTTGATAACTTTTATTAAAGTAGTTGCACTAATATGTAATTACCTCTTTTTTTTTTTCCTTTGATTCTTCTCTAATTGTTTAAAAATTTTATATTTTACAATGATATATCATACTACCATATTGATCCATATGATCATGACACCATATTGATGTGAATCAAATTCATGCTTCCACTACTGCTAATTTAAGCAGTTTTAATGAAGACCATTGTCTCTCTCTCTATTAGGAAGAAGGAGACAGGTCTGAGCAGACTGGTCATTATGCCTCATAGTAAGTGTCATGCTCGGAACATTTAGTTAATGTCATCTGCTTCTTAAGTGGGAGGAAAAGAGACTTTAAAGGTGATGAGTATTGGTATCTGAGTGAAGCTAGAACCTGAAGTCAGGCCTTTGGCTAAAATTGAATATGCTGTTAGACTAAAAACTGCAAGTAGGCCCTGAGGCTAAAAGCTTATACTGGCTGTGAGGTTGACAATGCAGAAGTAATGCTTTTAAATAAAGCATTATTTACTTAAATTGCTAAAGCAAAGCTAAAGATTTATTTAGGCCAATAAATCATTTTATTTTTTAATCTCATTCATGATCAAACTTTACTTTTATTTATAATTAAAATAATAAAAAAATGACAAAATTTTGAAAAATAAACGAGGATTTGTGCAATATTTAAAAGATTGTTTTTGAAGGACATTATGTTGGCATGGCCAAGACTTTACATAATGATGACTGCAAGTATTTACATGTTAATTAAGTTGTTCTCATTTTGTACGATTTTCCTCATATGCTTGTTATTTCTGTAAGGCAGTATGGGAATTTGTCTAAGTGCTCAAGATTAAGGATGGGAGGGGGGGGAGTTACTTTGTTTCACTGGCTAGAAGACAAGTCTTTATGTAGTGAGTGGCATTTGTGAGAACTCCACTCATGCCAGATGCACATTTTACTTTTTCTTTAAGAAGTATTTGAGATAGCTTGGGGATTTACCACGATTGGTCTAGATTTGATTGACATGAAAGTTAGTCTTTAGCCTATTAACCATTTTGCTATCTGGAGACAGGCACTTTACCATTGTACTACCGAGCCCACTGGCTAAAAACCATATTGTTATATCATTCTCTCATCCTGTGCATCTTTCTTTATAGCAAATTTTAAATGAGGTGTTTTCTCAGATGGTTTCAGTCTTTGTGGCTAATTGGGGTTGAAATACTTTTGTCAATGTAATTCTCAGTATGATTTGTGTGATATATCTGCTTAAAGTGGAGATGTTTGCCACATCAGTAAAGGAAAGGTGGATGCATTGAGCCTTTATGAAATATATAAAATATGTAAAAATATAATGAATTTACCTTATTTCAGTGTAACAAAATTTGGCATTGGTTGTGTAATTTGTATATTTTATATTTTTTAAATGTTTCATGCAGTTATGAATAATCCCTGTATAAAAAAAACCTCTTCCTTTTCCTCTTTTTCTTACAATATTTTGAGACAGGTAGACAAATAGAATATGTGCTTTGCCATATTCAGACATCATAACCTAACCTATAATACTTTGTGAATATCTATAAATAATGTAACATCCTTCTTCTTTTTATTAGAATCCCTGTCTGTAAAGGAAAAAATACAAAAAAAATTAAACATGTCTGAAAGTTATAAATTTTTTTGCAATTCTTTTAATTTTTTCGTTTCTAAATTTTTTTTATATTTAATTCTGTATGATTTTTTCGCACTTTATTTATGTATTGATGACTTCAGAACACATTTGTAAACTGTTTCATTTTTTTTTTTACATTGCAGTTGTATTTAATTAAAGAGTCTTTCTGTGCAGTAATATAAAAGCTTTGCAAAACAGATTTATGTAATAAGCAACAAAAAGTGAATGATTAAAAATTTAATTTGCTGTGTCAAACATTTCTGCAATAAAAAAATACAAAGGAATTGAACATGAAATACAAAGGAATTGCTCGAAAATTATAAAGCTTATTTCAATTCTTATATTTTTTTCCTTTCTCACTTTTTTATAATTAATTCCGTATGATTTTTTCCCACTTTTATTTATGTATTGAAGACTTTTTCTGAACAGTTTTGTAAACTGTTTCTGCTAAAAATAATTTGCTGTGTGAAATATATTTGTGTAATAAGGAACAGAAATGAACATTAAAAAATAAAGTAATTAATTAAATAATATAGTTATATATTGTATATGATATTTAGTATAAACACGTAGATTATGGCTATATCATTAAACATTAATATTATAACAAAGAATATTCAGTTTATCAGCCTAATTGTAGCTCACTTATTTTATAGTTTTGCCAATATTTAACAATCCAGTTTCAAATCAACATAAGCGTTCAGCTTCTGGCATAGCAAAAGAAAATCCCAGGGAAGTTACTCAAGCAGTTATGACAAGGTGTGTAATTTCGTATTTAAAAACTTAACATCTTTATTCTATTTATAAGCCATACTGTTTTGCAATTACCATCCGTAATTATATTTCATTTCAATATTTATTTTTTTCTTTTAGGGTTCAACTGCAGCAGTTCATTAAAAAACTGAAGGTTAGTATGTAACCTATTGTTTACAGCATATATGCAGTCTTTAATTGCTGAGAAATTTTTTACAGTGATCACTTTAAAGAAACCATCAATGAAAGTCAAAAGTACTTTTTAGGACTTCATTAACATCAGTATTGAATATCAGCATTCTAAAACAATCATCTCCAATCATTTGGTTCCATTGATAATCATTTCAGGAAGGTGTCACTATATTTAACCTGTTCGTGATGGGCACCTCAGTTACCAAACTGCTCCCTCAGAACAGTGCATTAACTGGATGCATTGTCTTGTGGGGGCAGGGAATTCATGCTGCTAAGCCTAACGTCGGGGAAAAAATTCCATAAATTTGGTATCCAGTTCCAATTGTTTTACATTATGGGAAGAGCACTCATGTAATTAACAGAATTAATTTAAAATTTTTATATTTTCCTGAGAATTTTTATAAAATAATCAATTTTAGAGTAATATAATTTTTGACTTACCTCAAATAAATACAGTCAAAAGTTTTTAATCCGGACTCGTCGGGACTTCAGCGATTCCGGATTATAGATCATCAATTTAAATCTGGTAAGATTGCAGAAATTATAAAATTAAAAATATGAAACCGTAATTTATGAAATAAAGAGCTAGTATGATCTAAAGGGTATCAAAATTTACAAAAAAAAAAAAAAAAAGCCTCATATTTATTTGTTTACTTTATTAAACATTTCTTTCAATGTGTGCATGTGTAAAGCATACATTACGCATAGTCAAAATTAGAAAATTGCAACCAGAAAACTATTTGATGTGTATTCGTGATATTTGTAATGGCAAGGAATTTCGTTTAAATTATATCAAAAACGGAGTACATCGAGATGAAATACTACATTTAGTAAGGAATTATAAGCGAAATAAAATAAAAACATCTGCCCTGAAGATAAGGATAGTGCTGACAGATGAACTTCCGTTCATTGCGCGCCGCGATGTCCCACCCCCTCTCCGCAGAGCAGCGTGAAATTGATAAACAGATTTCGGAATGGTTAGAGAAACAAAGGATATGCCTTTATCCATTTTTTTCAGCAATTCCACTTTTTGTTTGATGGACATCGAAACATGCTTTCGCTTTGTAGATCCTTTGGTGGCTCCAGAATAATTGAAAGTTCAAGCTTACTTTTATAAAATTGCTCTAACAGTTTGCAAAAAATAATAAGCCGGATCCAATTAGAAGATTAAGGAACAACGCAGTCTGCAACATTACCTAAAATAGATAATTAGATAATTTTAGCTTAGCTTATACCGGCCGTTATACATTAAACGCGCATGCATAAATGCATTATGCGTTTATGCATGGACAGAAAGTTTGTAGCTTTGAAGTCCAGATTATGGACGTCCGGATTAAAGACTTTTGACTGTATGTATGGAAAAACAGCCACACAATCACAGATTTTATTTAACACAACACGTTTAAAAATAAAGACTATTAAAACTCTCTTTCATAAAAAAACAAGCATGAAAACAATGAAAAAAGAGCAATATTTAAAAAAGGAAACAGTGCCGTATGCAAAGTCCTATGTTGCATATGTTACAAGAATGGAATAGCTGCTGCTGTTTTCTATTATTTTTTATTGTTTGTGAGCAAACAATATATCATCTGTGGCACTTTTCCCCACATTTATTTAGATATAAAGTAAGGATGTGTCTTCCCAAAAGTCTTAAAGGTGAGGGTGATCTCACACTGAACTTCCTTTTGGCCCTGTAATCTTCATAGATTTCAAAAAATTTTTCATGTTTTTCATTTTAAATTCCAGGAAAGGTGCTTTTATTCCATATTTTTTGTTTAAAGAATTTTGGCATCTGTGAGTGCAATGTCCGTCAATCCAACAAGCAAATTTTTGTACCACTTCACAGATTTTCAGATTAGTGGATAAAGGGTCATGATTGAGTCTCTTTGGTCAGCGCCTCCCATGTATTTATTATAATGTAATGTTCAAAATAGCTTCTTCAAGTTTACTGTTATTTCGCATTTAGCCAAATCTGGCACATATATTGTTACCAATACAAATACATCTTTTTTCCCTCTTTGATCACAATCACATTCATATTTTTATGCTGTATGGCATTAACCTATTGCTCTTTTATGTCTTTTCTTGGAAAATTCTTTGGCATTAATTTTCTTGTTCTTCAAAACGGTTCTGCGCAAATTTGTCTGTATAGATTATGTAAGTGTTGGGGAATTTAAAAAAAAAAAAAAAAAAATCTGTCAATGTTCAAATTGCATCCTTTCTCAGATGATCACGAGTGTTCTTAAGTATGGAGTTAAGCTTACTAACTGTTATGGCCTTTTATGATGTTAGTCATTGGGGAAGATATTGCATTTTGAGAATAGTTCTAATTCTCTTGTGAATTATTGTAGTACTGTATATGAATTATATTATGTATAACATAATGACTTTATATGAGAAAATTTTAATTTTTCTCACAAATTTATTAAATGAATTAATAAACCTTATTTATTAAATGAGTGGTTTTCTTTGTTTAATCTTGTTATGAATGTTTTAGGTTTTTTTTTTTTTTTTTTTTTTTTTTTTTTTTTTTTTTTTTTTCATGTTACTTTTGTTTTTCATATAAATTTTGTCTCAATATTCATTGTCTCTAGTAAGTATAAATTTGCATATTTACCTGGTTGTTTTTATTATTCATTACTTAAATTATTGGTAATAATTTAAAATTATATAAGTACTTTATATAAATGTATGTAGTATGAATTGTATATACCATAAGCCTTTACATGTACAGATTTAGGGGCATACTTTTATTTAAGTTGATATAAAACTTGAATGGATTTTAACAGTATATGATTGAAGAGTTATAATGGTCTTTTACATTTTATAAATTATCCTATATAACATGTACATAAATTCATTTTTTGTAATGATAAAATCTGTATTATTCTGTAATGTATTTCAAAAGTTTGTATGAGAACATATGTACTTAACACATATACAGTACAAAGTCTGTAATCTGGACTCGTCAGAACGTTGGCGATTCTAGATTAGGGTTTTTTCCGGATTATAGATCATCAATTTAAATCTGGTAAGATGGCATGCAGAAATTCTACAATTAAAAATATGAAACCGTAATTTATGAAATAAAGAGCAATTATGATCTAAAGGGTATCAAAATTTACAAAAGAAAGCTTAATATTTATTTGTTTACTTTATTAAACACTTCTTTCAATGTAAGTTGTTTAAGTTGCTTCGTTTTTTGTGCTAATACTTTCTCTTTAATTCTATAAACAGACATAATTTCTTGTTCAGTTCCACTGTTCAAGTCCTGTAATTGCTGTGTTAAGTATGCCGACTAACTTGGGAACTGAAATTTTTTCGTTTTCAGTAACCTCTCTTCACTTTCTTCACTATCGGAAGTGGTACATCGAAACATGCTTTCGCTTTGTAAATCCTTTGTCAGCTCCAGAATTGGAAACTCTTTTTGACATAATCGAAAGTTCAAGCTTAATTTTTATAAGATTGCTCTAACAGTCTGCAAAAAATAATAAGCCGGATCCAGTTGGAAGATCAAGGAACAACGCAATCTGCAGCATTAACTGAAATAAATAATTAGATAATTTTAGTTTAGCTTATACCGTCCGTTATACATTAAACGCACATACGTAAATGCATTATGTGTTTATGCATGCGCAGAAAGTTTGTAGCTTTGAGGTCCGGATTATGGACATCCGGATTAAAGACTTTGTACTGTATATGACAATTTTTTATTCATTTTCCTCAAAGCTTTGCAGGCAATATAAATTAATGAATGGCTTATCATAGTCAACAGAATTAAACTGAAATAAACACAGACTTGAGGTACTAAAGTTTGCAAGCAGTAAAAGCAGTTTGCAAGCTTAATTTTTATAAGATTGCTCTATCAGTCTGCAAAAAATAACAAGCCAGATCTAATTAGAAGATTAAGGAACAGCACAATCTGCAACATTAACTGAAATGCCTTAGAATCAGTAAAGATAATTTTAACCTAGCTTATACTATCCGTTATACGTTAAATGTGCATGTGTAAATGCATTACGCGCATGCATAAAGCATATCAAAAAAAGTTTGTGGCTTTGAGGTCCAGATTATAGGTCATTCCGGATAATGGACGTCCGGATTAAGGACTTTGTACTGTATACATAAAACTTGCATATGTATGAATATGTAATGAATTGTATTTTCCTTGTTTTAAGTCCGTAAAACAGTATCATGTTACTTAATTAAAATATATTTCCTTTTTAGGATACATTAGTGTTGGGGATAATTATCTCATGTCTGGCTAAATTTTATAACATCTTAAAAGTAAGTTTTATTCTTATGATTTTTTTTTTTTTTTAAGTGTCATTTGCTCTGTATTTTAGAGTTAATTTCTGTATTAATTAGGAGGTCAAGTTTTGCCACTTTCTATCCAAATTTGTTAAACACGTGAAGATGAATTATAGATTTTTTGGACCATCTAACTGAATATATATTTTTTTTTTTTCAGGATGATTCTGTAGGAGAAATATTTTTAGAACATCAGGGACTTTGGCCCACTATAATAACAAAGTAAAATGTTTTGAATTTCATTTGTTTTTGTATGATTGCTTCTAACATTATAAAACGCATCCTTATGAATGTTTACAGTTTGTTGATGTTGAATGAAAGTTAACTTGTATTATAATTAAATCATATTGTACATTATACTTATCCAGCTGTCTTCTCTTGAATGAATGATATATTTTTATCTACTGAGACTTATACTTCTTTTTTTTTTTTTTTTTTTTTTAGTTCTAATGTTTTCAACATGACAGCTGTGGGAGAAATATTTCAAAGTACATTACATCATGCTTTAAATATACATCCTACCCATACTGCTTGGCTTCGCACCAAAGGGGATGTTATGTATGGTAAGTATTTATTATCTTTGCCACTTAAGTTATAACCATTGTGCTGTACACATCTTTTGGAGACCATTATTATTATTATTAGTAGTAGTAGTATTTTCTGATTTGAATAGATAGCATAATATTTCATATATAGTTTCTATAAAATTATATGAATTGTTAAGAAATGTTTGAATATTTCTCTGAATTTTTTCTAAAAATATTATAACTGATCAAAATAGAATAGAGTTTCTTGTTCAAACTTTTCTAAGTAGAATATATGTTGTGTAAAGGTTAAAAACATGAAATAACTGATTTTGTAAGTTTGAAGGATTCAGCAGAAAACAAAATATGTGTTTAAAGAATTAATTTGGTTTCTGCAATAATTTTCTGTGTATTGTGAACAGGAAAGAGTAAAATATGCAAATCTGATTAATGAAAGTAAATATCCAGTATACAAATTGAAGAAAATTGGCTAAAGTTATTGAAAATGAGACAACCTATGTATAAAAATAAATGTTAAAAATGAAAAATATATACAACCCGATATTTTTAATATCTAACCTTCGTTTCATATTATTAACCCCTCCTTTTTTGGGAGGTGGTAGTTCAAGGCATATATTTTGATATTCTTTTTCTGAGCCAGGTTTGCATATCACAGAGTCATCCCTTTTTTTGTTTTAATGATCCTTAGAAATGATTTGTTAATTTGATCTTCTTAAAAGGGATATATGTAAAAATTAAGGTATAAATTTTTTTACTAAATATTCTCGTTTTGCCAGAATTGCCATTATCATAAGTCTTTTCTGACTTATTTCGTAAACTATAGGTTTACAGCCAGTTGTTTGAGAAATATTTAGTTGTGCCATTTCTTTGACCTCCTTGTATTTGTATGTTCAGTTAATTTGAATGATTTTGTCATATTTATATTTTCAGTGCTCTTAAATGATTGTTGTACTTCTGTTTTCAGTTCTTTTAATTAATTGCTCAAATATGCCACAAAAGTTTGATTTTTATTCAATCAGTAGAACTAACATTAGGAAATGAAGCAGTTAGTTTTGCCGTTGAAGATAAGATATTGAAAGTGAGATTTTTGAACTATTTGCAACATATAAATTACAGTTTTAGTGAAACCCTTTTTTAAGAAAATGTGAAAGTGTAACTGAGCTTATGTTTGCAGACTTCATATTATGCAACTTAGATTATTTGGAATGCTACAGTATTTCCACTTGAATACTACAGCTTATATGTGTATGTATTGGGGATACAGTTTATCAGGCATGTCATTGCACAGTTTTTTTCTAGACACCTAATAAATTTCTTTCCCTCCTTCTCACCCACATTTACCATGTGTTTTTATTTCTCTTTTCAGTTCAAGGCCATTACTCATGTGCTTTAAAGTATTATATATCTGCAGCTATGGTCAGTAGTGATTTTTTCAGTTTACCATTGCCAAAAGCAATATTTGATGACTTACAGTACAAGCACATGATCCATTGTTGCACAAAACTGCAAAATCATACACAGGTAATACATTTAATGCATTAATTAATTATTTTATATAATTTTAAAACAAATAGCAAATTAAAGATATTGAAATAATAAGAGTTCATTATATGTCATATATTTACATCTGCTTATAATTATCAACCTGTACTCAGCATTTTAAAAGAATTTGACCACCAGTCAGATGCATAGTTAAAATATATAAATAAATGTGCTTATGAATATTTAATAATTTTTCCCAAAATCTTATTTTTTACACATGTTTGGTTCTAGTAGCAGTAAAAAATTATTAAGAGTAATATTGAAATTAACTTTTCCAAAATAACAGCAGTAAGGGAATTTTTGCACACAATAAGTTAAGAAAAGCAGCTGCCTACTATAAAATTATGAAATTCATTATAAGTCGTACTAATGCAAAAGGTTAGAATAACTTTGAAACTGTCTAATCTTTATCAATGCACATCAGTTTCTTAAAATACTCTTATCACTTTTAACATCAAAGTGCATATTTATTTCTAAATCATCACAGGAGGGGATTTCCTTTTAACATAATCTGTCATGTTAATAAATTAAATCTGAACTCCCCCACAGAAGTTTTATGCATTTTTTTTTTTTTTTTTTTTTTTTTTTTTTTTTTTTGAAAATTTTTAGTAGACTGAAATGAGAAGAAATTTGTCTTAATTTTTTTCATTATATTGCATAGTTTATTGTATTAATAAATTAGCACATAAAATTTTTCATTTGTATTTATAAAAATCAACATGTTTATTTTAACTAGGCTTCTATACTTCACCAGTTCCTTGAAGAGCCTAATTATTCTATGGCATTTAAAGCATTAGGGGAGAGAGTCTGCAATGACAGCTGTGATACATACTATCCTTGTATATGGGATATAACACTTCTTGAATTTCTTGTTCATCATCATACAAAGAGAGGAGAAACAGACTGCCGTCAGTATGTTATTCGTTTGATTGGCCAGTTAGAGCTTAATTCAAATAATAACGAGGAAATACAAAGAGAAGCAGCAAGTCTAAGGAAGGGTTGGTTTTTGAGAGCAATGGCCAAACAGTATTTATAGAAGAGAATGAAGAATCATTTCTGTAAATATCATTGTAATATGCCATTTTATATCATGGAATTAAATATATTTTATGCTTTTCCAGATTCTGATTTTAATTGTTATTACTTACACTTTTTTTTGAGTAAATAAATTCTCTTCTTGATCTTGTAATTAGTTGAGAAACATCCTAGTTATCTCTTCGTTCTTAAACAGTAGCATCTTAATAATAATTTTAATAAATTATCACCTTCAATACCTTACTCATCATGGGCTGTGTTTAGATAAATTCATAGTAAACCAAGTATCATAATTTAGGCTACCTTACACTACTTGTGCTGTGAAGATTTCTGTTATCTTACACTTGGGAAAATCATGTAACAAAAAGTCTGCATTATAATTAAGTATTGAATAATTTATGTAATTTATTGAATAATATTCTGAAAGGGAGAAACGGTATGGTAGTAATATATAAACATCTTTTAATGAATGTATAGGTGAAAGTATACTAAACTTGGCGTAATATTTGAAGCATCAAATTTATATTGAATTGTTTAATAACGATAAACTAGTTCTTCAACTGTAATCTCTTTTGTGAGGCTTGGCAATTGATAAAAGGCTGTGGAAGTCAGCATTTTGAGTAGTTCAACTACACCTAGACTGATGCATCGCACAGAGTGGCAAAATTTAGAAGTCAATTAAAGATTGCACTTAATAGCAAAAATCCTAGCACCAGCCCTGACATGCAGAGAGCTTCTCAAGAAATTTAAACTTTACAGTGTGTTTCTTCTTGTAGATATTGTATTCATTTGCATCCCCCTCTTGTTTTATTAATTTTATCTCTTCAGAGTCAAGAAGAGTAAATTATGTAGTGTATACATACCATTTATGAGAAGAGGAGTTACAGGAAGAACTTGATAAATTAAAAGTGCATGTGAATAGATGTAAAATGAAGCATCTTGTATATTTCTCATTTATACATCTTTTTTATATATACGATTTCATCATACTTGGTTCTTCCCCCCTCTCTCTGACATATTTATCGGTGTTTTTTTCATATCTCAATAGTTTCTCCAACCATAATTCCTTTCTTTCAGTAGTATCTGGAAACTGTGTATGGGATTATTAGTGGTAGAAACAAAGATATGGGATATCTTAGAATGGTGCAGGGGTTTAGAATACAGTTGTTAGGGGGAAAGGGTATTTCTTTCAGTAGTATCTGGAAACTGTGTATGGGATTATTAGTGGTAGAAACAAAGATATGGGATATCTTAGAATGGTGCAGGGGTTTAGAATACAGTTGTTATGGGGAAAGGGTATTTCTTAAGCTAGGGAGGTTGAAACTTTGCTGACAAGACAGGTTTTCTGATGACACTTATACTTGTTTCATTTGGTGAATGTTATAAGTTTGCTGCTGTGTTTGCTTTATATTTTCCTTTAAACCTGACCTTGTATGAGATTCTCATTTTTATTTTAAATGATAAAACATTTTTCGTTCTTAAGATCTTAAAGTTTAGTCAGCACTCATGACTCAGTCATGTTTTGTTAAGTCAGCATGCTTCAGGGTAAAAGTCAGCTTAAGAAGGTATGCTGTGCAAACACAAATGAACTTTCAAAATGGCTTGACAGGATCCAAATGATATGAGAACTTATTCAGTAATATTCCTAACTATCACGATTGCTAAGCATCAAATCTCTGATTTGATTGATGTGCTGCTCATTATTTGAAGTGTACCCGGATATAGTTCAACTTCAATGTACCTTACTCTCTGCCTTCTTTAAATATTTTATTTCATGCCATAAATTTTTGTTTTTGTAAAGTGTTGTCTTCAAAGGCTTTTAGCAAAATTTCAGACTTTTTTTTAGCAGAAATTCCACTGCTAAAACAAAATTTAATGCATGTCTTTTGCTCAATTCTATTTGTCAGTTGTTTCATTAGAAAGGAATTTATTTGCTAATGGTAAAAGGAAACAAAATGCAGGTTATTGCTATATGTCAGTCATAACAGCTTCTAAAAAATTTACAAGCAGCTTTTTGCATGCACATATTTTCGATGAATCATTATTGATATCCCCCTTGAGATAATGGCATAGCGTTTCACTATAATATGCCTTTGTGTCTCCATTTTGCAAGCACTAGTTACTTGTAAACACAACCTTCATTTTCATTCCTAATAGAACCTAACCTAATTATAAAAGTGATTATTCATCATCTTATGATTAAATATAGTACATTTTAATGGTGTTTCAGAAAAATCCAAATGCTGAAATTGTTCACTCTATCATTCACAAGTGTTCCTGTATTTCTTTTTCCCTTTTTAATAGAAGTGCATCAATGTTGCATAACTACGAGAAATGAGGGGAACACTCGCACACACTTTTTTAATGTATTCTTTATAAAGTTATGCAATTCTTTTTATTACTAAGAATTTAATTCATTTGAAATGGTTTTTACTTTATATTCTGCACCATTACTCAAACTCAGTAGATGTTATTTATATATAAGTTTTTGGTCAATTCTATTTGTATTGTATCTTGTATCAAGGTATATGATATTATCCAAATATTAGATGCAGTAGCAGTGTGCATAGGAAGTAAAGTAATGCAACTTCATAGAAATCAATGCATGACCATGCACATTTGCAATCTAGATAGAATGTTGTTGTCATTGTGCGGTATTTATTACTTTTACAAAACTTTTTATTGATTGAAAAGCATATTTACTTTAATTGTAAAAGTCTGATTTGTTGGTTCTTGACAGTAGTTTTATGAATCATCAAATAAAAAGTTAAACAGATAAAAGTACAACTTTAAGTTCTTAAACTACACTAAAAACATTTCATGTCTGTCTAATTGCTAAAACACATAATAATGAAATTTCAGTGAATTAAAATAAGCCCAGTTGCATGTTTTGGAAAATATGTAATCAGCAACAGAAATATAGAATGCACCACTGTTTAACAAAGAATTGTAAGATAAATTTTTGTTTTATTCTCAAAATGGTTGTCATAAATATTAATTAATGTGAGTTAAAAGTTTTTATTTCAAATTGTGAGTTAAAAGTTTTAATTTCAAATTAAAATTCTTATATTTGCTATGAAATATGACAAGTATATGATGTAAAAGAATTTGAATTTTAGAAGTTGCTTATATATAAAGCAAAAATTCTGAAACTTAAGTTTCAGGAGAATGAAAAATTATTTCCAACAGTCCTTGCAATTTTTCTGAGGAAATATTTAAAGTGGAAGAAATGTCAAGATAGATTAATATTTACAATTTTTATTTAAAAGATTTTTTCTCATCTGTACTACGTTAAAGAGTAAATGAACAATTGTTAAAGTTTCAAGTACGTTAATTCCATATTTAATATTAAATATAAGACACCACTTTTTTCGCTATATTTTTAGTTCTAAAATTTAGTAGGGAATTATAATAAAATATTTTGATGGTTTAAATATCAGATGAGAGGAAGGATATTTCATTATCGTACTATATAAAATAAGTAAGCAGTTTAAATACTAAATAAACCACTAATACTAAATAAACATAGGTAAAATTATTATATATATAAACTGCATAACAAATGCTAATTATACATAATAGCCAATGTCTAACTGAACATTTTCTGTTTATGCCAGTATCCACTAGACTTGTCACTGTTACACCTAAAAAGAAATGGGCATCACTTACTTTTCATAATTTTTCTCTCTACAGTATGATAAAATTTTTGTGTTTAATTGTACCTTCTTTCTAATCAGAATCATAACCTTATTAGGTATTCAGATCCATATTTATTTTTAAAATGTAAAGAGAGTCTTAGTTTTGGAGTAAATTCAATATTCTTCTTGCCAACTTGAACAATATTTTTATTTTTATACCTAATATTGCACTTATTGTTCATTGATGAATGTTTCTGAATATTCAGATTTGAATTTAGAGTGTAAATTTTTAGAACTGTGTGTGTTACTCAATTGAGAATGTAAAATTTTGAAAGAATACTAAACAATCAAATATACATAAAACTTTATTAAATTGTTTAGCAACATGACAATGGTGTACATAATGAGAAAATAAACAAATACATCCATTTACAGTTTTTTTTTTTTTTTTTTTTTTTTTTCCCTCGAAGGCACTTAATACATTATTCACTTTTAATTCATTCACTAACACCACTTTGAAAATAAAATGTTGTTGCAACACGTTTAATAATATTTTTGATTGTCATTTTATAATTTATTTCTTAGAATAGATGACCCAAGTTCATAAATATTTGCACATTGCCCATTTGGCTTTGGACACTAGATTTAAATTGACATATAAATGACTTTTTATATGTAATTATATATATTAAAAATATATTTGAAGATGTGCTGAATTTTACTTTTCCTGTATACCGTTTGAAAGATTTTTAAGTAATTAATTTAAAATAAATGTCTTAATTTTGTTTAAAGGCGTAATTAAAAACTACAAATTTAGACGGGTCTTTTTTAATCTCCTGCAAAGTTAAAAAACTGCTTTTGTTTAAAATTTGTAAACACCATTTTAATCATTCTTTGCTAATACAGTGTAAACAACTTAAAATTGGTCCTTATTCACATAACAGGCAAATAAAAATGGAACCAATTAAGTTCATGATTCTTTATATCCTTGTAATATATAATAAATATCAGCTGTGAACTTTCTACTCTGCAGTCAAAATTAAATCTTGTTAATATCATGATTTTAATTTTTTAAGTATATTTAATTTTTATGTGAATCATAATTTTTGTATAAAAATACTTTTACATTGTAAAAATATTTTTTAACTTTGTCATTTTTGTGTAATAGACAGATGTAAAATAGGGTAGTTATTTTTGAAATAGTAGATACAGAGGGCATATCAATTTGGAAATCAATAATTTGATTAAATTTTACGACTTAAAATTAATAATCTGAATAAAAATTTCTTTATTAAACTTTGTTTGACATTAGTAATAATTAAAAACTCAATGAATTTTAAAAGAGAGAATAGTTATCTTCGGAAGCAATGATTGTTTTCCCCCTCTCAAAATCTATTGAACTGTTATTAAGGCCAAACAAGAGTAAAATTTTACTATTCTTTATTAAAGTGCATATATTTATATAAATATTTTACTTGTACATAATTTAGAAGTGTAACATTTCACATTCACCATGATCTAAAAATTAATACAGTAAAATGCATATATTGAATACTTCGTTATGTTTTCCTAACTTTTACTTATCTTACAAAAACAAGAATTAAAAATAACTTGTTTGTGTTAAAGATGTAAATATTTATATTATAATTGTGTTTTGGAGCTATTATTGCACCACTGCTCTACAAATGCTCAGAGCATTTACAATCAAGAAAGTTACATATAAAAATATACTAGTGCATCTTTGAATAAAATTGTTTCCGTTTATCAAAATACAAAATTTGCACCTTCTAAAATATGGATCACAATCATGAAATAACATTTAATGCATTCAATACTTACATAGAATAATCAGATAATATCTGATATGTTAATAAATGATGGAAAAAGTCACATTAGGTATTTAGTATAAAAAACATACAGCATTTTGATTCTGAAACATAATATATATATATATATATGTATATAAATTCATGTGTGTATGAACACAGCAAACAACAAAGCACAATACAAAGTATTCAGTATTTGTTACAGAACATTGCAACAGTATAAAGAATATAGGTGAATGTAAGTGTAAACGCAAATATTCAACAGAATTCTTTTGGAGTCGACTTTTTTGGTCTTCATATTGTAGTTGTGAATTTGAACTTTTCATTGTTAATCTTCCGAAAAGAATGGATTCAAATGGCTAATAAATTTTGTAATTATTTATTTAATATTAGTCTCTCCACCTTCCTTCTAAAACAGATAATTTGAAATAATCACCTATATTCTTTATTACTTTGAACTGATAGTTACAATATGTGCCACATAACTTAACACATAAATAATAATGACATATCACTACATTGTAATTAAGGCACTTGGAATGCATTACGGTGTTTCAGGAAACACCTTTTTCTACTACTACACAATCTCTCTTCAAATAAATAAAAACTCATTTGGTAAACACAAAAATAAATCCATAAAATATCTGCATACAAAAGCATATAAAAATGACATACATAAAAGTTTATGATACAAGCAGATAAACAGAATGTATTTTGAAATAAAACCATTGTTCACAATAATATTGCGCCTAGAGAAATGATTATTTAGACATTAGCATTCATGGAAGGTAAAAGTGTAAATCTAATTTTGGAAGTGGAACATTTTATTGATATGTTAAAAGTTCCTTGTAATGTGAATAGGCTGCTTTCGGTCATGCTGTCTGAAGCATATTAATTGAATGTTTATTTTTTTCAGGCTGAATAGTTCATTGTGTAATATTTTTTAGATATTGTACAGATGTTTTACTGATAACATTGGCAAGTTTATTTAATGTGTATACAAGTAATTTTTAGGAACTTAGTATTTTATATCTCTGCTATAAATAACATGTACTATATATTTATTGCACTTCCTTCCAATGTAAACAGAACTGATCACACTTTAGTAAGATTTTAGAATATTTTAGGATATGAAATATTTTTTTCAGACTGTAAATTTTATCAAAGGATTTCGAAAAGCAAATTAAAGCATGTAAAATACATGTAGGTAATATATTTTGTTCAATATCATTTGTGAAGTAATAGTTCAAAAGCAATGTTATTAGGTGTAATTTCATTGAAATTATGAATTTGAATAATAGGTCAATTTGTGTAATAAGTTTCAATTTTTAATAATTATATACTAAAATAATAGAGAAATTAATTTTAACATATAAGCTGTATGAAATGAGATTTTGTTTGATGTTTATTTAGTTGGTAAAAAATTGTCATTAATTTTTTATCTCAAAGTGATAGTTCCTAGTTGACAATATTTATGTATTTCAGTTATTAAAATTTTTATTAAAGTTTATTGTAGAGTTTAGGTTGTATATACAAAAATATTTGCAATATACTGTACATTGAAGAGTTATTCTGTACCCTGTAATAAGTTAAGGCAGATAATGGTCTTGGAAATACAAAGCCATCTAGATAGAAGACTAGACATAAAATAAGCAATACTATGTGATATATTAAGCAAAATTTTAGGATAAAAGAGGCTACATCTAGATGGTTTCTAGACAAGATGTCTGCCTTATTATCTATTGTGACTTAAAAATATTCTGTTACCTGCAAATGGAGATTTCATTGAACAAAAATGCATCAGCAAGTTACATGAGCTGACTGCATGTTCGAAAGTTATCTTGTAGACACAATAAAAGTTAACTACATGTATATAGCTGCTTATGCAATAACAACACAAAGATTATTAAGGCAGTAAACGATATCAAGTTACAGGGCTTTAAATATGTATATATAACCATTGGCTTCAAATATACACAGTGGAAGAAGGTGTGATTTTGTTGCATAATAAAATGATAAAAGTTTTCAGAAAGACTGTTCTTAGTTTGCGTTCACTGGTGTACAAATCACGTGCATTAAATACTTTGTCAAAAGTCTGTCACATTAGCTAGTGACTTCATCGCCTAACATTTAGTTGCACTGAAAGTTAATCTTAAGCCATAAACAATTCAATGTACCGATTACTAAGGTTCTGGCGACTTTTTTCTTGGAGAGCTCTTTCAGCTTCAATTCTTGCAGCAGGGAAAGTAACCATTGCCTCGCTGTTAGGTCGAACCTCACCGTTGCGTTGCACTTGAATGCATTCCGTGGTTAACTGCAAAAAAAGGTAAATAAAAATGTTTCCTTGTATACTCTTTTTATGCGTAAGAAAGAAATGTAATACATGAACTTTCCTGCATTATGAAATAAAGAAATCTGAGTACTTCCCATACGAGTATTTATTTTCATTACATTCTCTACATATTTAACTAAACTTTTTTTTTTCCTGCAGAAGATAGGCCTATGTCTGATTACCCTCAAAATTGAGAGAGATTTATTCAAAATCTATGCCAAAATTAAGGTTGCATTTTTGTCTAATTTAAAATTTTATACTGACGTGTTTCTCTTCCAATTTAATCAGCTTTTTATTTCAGATCTCATGAGCAAAGATAAGCAAAAAAATGAATTAGAGTTATCTATCCACAACTGCTCAAAAACGTTGTAGTACAAATGTCTTAGTGTATAAAACCGATATATTTAGTTATATGCATCATTCAAATATGCAATCTTTGTTTAACTAACTGGATATTTTTGATCGATATACTTGAAGACAACAAAATTTTGCAGTAACACTCTTAGCGGGAAAAATTAACGATAATTGTTCTTCACTTTTTTAGTATAGTAAATTTAGTTTTAAACTGAACTTTTGCTTTACCGAATTTAGTTCTAAATATCTGTACCTTGAGAAAATCGTTCTATTCCAAGGATTAGATTACGGCTGTCATTGGCTTGAGCACCATTCAGGTGACAGTGTGATCTTCACCCCCATTTTTGATGGAGAGCATCCCGGAGAGACGGCTCCGAGGGTCTTCCACCTCTCTTTCCTACCACCAAACCATACGAGAGGACTTTCGGCTCGTCGCATATTTAGAATGCCGCACCGACACTATACATTTTCAAACACCCATGCCTTCTCCGGGATTCGAACCCGGGCCCTTTGGCACGGCAGTCAGCGACGCTAACCACTATACCGGTTGGGCGGTATAGTATATAAATGTTTATTCAGTGGACAAACAAAAAGAAATCTTAACGTAATATATCATGTTTATGAAAGAATTATATTTAGATCGTCATTTGAATAAACTTGTAAATTGTTGTAATCTGGTTGTCTATAACTTTCATTGTGCACTTTGGCTAGGCATCCGTCATGTGCATTTGTTTTCTCTTTATAAATCGCTAATCTCACAACTGTCTGTGTAAAACAGTTTTCCCCACAGTATTTCGTCGATTTTTCGAAGTCCTTCGTTTATTTTTAGCCTATAAGAACTTTATTAGAGCTCTCAGTTTCTCCTTTGTAAATTTCGATAATTTAAAATACCATTTCTTTCTGCTTTCTGACGCCAAACATCGGAACTGTCTTTTACTTTTTGACGGCAATGTTGCGCTTTCTAAAGCAATCGGCAGTTTTTCTTTTGGGATTAATACATTACGACGTTCTGAATTTCTTTGTCATAAAGTATAGCAAATGTGTGATTCAGTACTTTTCCACTAAAAGTGCTCTAAACTTCCCCTAACCTCAAAGTAGTATAGAAGTAAGAATTAAAATTTTTTCTTACCACGGTTGTCCCAGAGTGTGGATAATAAGTTGTGGGAGAAACCGGAGGGCTAGGATAGGGCCAGTAAAATACCGGGGAATAATAAGCAGCAGGTAACCTGGGTGTAAGAGGAGCAACTGCAGGTAGTATCTGTGGCGTTTGCACGTAGGGAAAAGCACCATAGGGCGGAGGCAACATATTACCACCTGAAATGAAAAGTTATTTAACGTATAAACATATAAATTCGGGTAAAAATAAATATTAAATAAGGGAGAAATAGATTCATCATATTGTAATACTGATAAAAAAATATACAGCACAGAATGGTCTTATTGCAATGGATTCAAACTATTTTAAAAAGCACCTTAAGTTACTAGAACTAGTTATAATCATAAATTAATATTAATTTATCACATACTATATCTCAACTTTGTACACTAATATGCATATCAGCCATGAAATAAGTGGGGAAAGCGATTCCCCCTTTCTAGCTGCAATTGTATCATGTTAATTTAAGGCAAACGTTTAGACAGTTAATAATCTTGCTTTCCTGAAATTTATTTCCTTAGTTCCATTGTCCTGAGTTTGTTAGATTTTTAATTGCTCCGGTCTAATTGCACTATGGATGGAATAGTCTTTATTAATCTATCATCAGTCAAAACCTTGTTAGTTAATTACAAAACAAAGCAACACAGAAACAAGTGTAACCCAAAAATAATGAACTTAAAACTACTAACCGTAGTTCATAAACCAAAGTGAAGCAAACAGAAAAATTCCTCCTAGTAATATAAAAACAAAGTACGAAAACCTTGGGTTGTTGAATATGTACAGCAGTGAAGATAATGTATATTTGAAAGCTAAGAAACACTGCTACCTACTAAGTCGTCCACACTGATACAGTGTTTCCAAAACAATCAGTCTTCCTCTGATACAGTATTTCTCAGCCAGTTTAGTCTCCAAATTTAAACTTTATTTAAATATATTTTTTTAAATATTAGTTTCATTTTTAACACTAAACTTGTGCGCATCATTATTCTCTACAATGATAATTATAAAATTTAAACAAAGAAAAACCAACAAATTTTTCAGATGGTGGTGTGTTTTTCTGTCAGTAGACCGCAATTTAACAACACACCAAACGCAGACTCTTACTATGTGACTATTAATATAATAATAATAATTCCATGTCCAAGTTGCAGCATAGCAAGATCGTTAATGTCGGTGATAAATTTTATCGACAAAGGTTGCGAATTATTGCACTAGCACACACTACAAAATAGAGTGAAATTGCCATAGCGATCATGCATTGAAAATGATTATTTTTTTCTTAGGGCATTAAATAATACCGTTAATAAGTATCTTCCTAAAGCGACCACCTCTACAAAATACCAAAGTTCCAAACCTATTCTTGGGATATTTAATCTCCAAACGGCGTATTCTTTTTTCAAATTGTTGCCACTAAATACTATCCCTCTGTACTATATTTAAAGAAGTTAAATAATGAAGAATATGCATGTTCCTCGCACTGTGAGAAAAAAAGACAACTGCATCCAGAACCATAAATCTTGAATCTTCCTTCAACTGATCATGTACACCTGGAATTTTGAATTTCGAATTTTATATTTCGTATTTTGTAAAACTTCAGTGAATTTTTTATTAACAAACTCATCAATTTCAAAGTGAGCCGTGGCAACGCTGTACGGAAAAAAAAAAAAAAAATTCCATCTTCAGCGTGCGAGACTGTCTATCGAAAATTTTAAAGATAGTATACTGTTTTAAAATATTTTGTGCTTTTGCTGTTGAATCGAGTTTTATGTGGCGTAAGCGTCAAGAGCGTGAAATTTAATAAATGAAGTAAACACGAAACCTTAATAATAAAAAGACAAAAAAAAAGTTTTGTAAAGGCATCTTAGTAAGAAACCTTAATATCGATGTGATGACCTGGGGGAAAAAAAAAAAAAAAAAAACATGTATGCCAACACTTAACGCTTCATCGGAAATTCCATACGTATACTGCTATAACTGCTATGCCGGAGAGTACTACTTTTCATTTATACGCCACTGCGCTCAATATCTTGCCTAAACCACAGAGCACCATAATCGGGCCATCAATAAGGGGAAGCAAGTAGCATAGAGTTATGAGTCTCGATTCCGACGGCATCATGCTGATCGTAAACCAAGAATACGCACCAGCCCCATAAAGCTATAGATCCAAAGGGCTACTTTTGAACTGCACGAAGTCATGGCAGTTCAGTGATGTCTTGTTTTTTCCTTTCTTGGCAATGTTTGGAAACTTTGATGCTTGCACCAAGTACTCTTATGTCTTCTAATCTATCTGGGGATCACTTACACCCCTTCATGCTTTCTGACATCGGGATGGAATAGGAATGTGCTAGCAGGACAATTGCTTCTGTCACAATTCTGGACAATTGTCCGATTGGCTACCACCTGGTTCAAGGAGACCATTGAATTCGTCTTGATCAAATGGTCACCGAGGAACGCGGGCTTGAATCCCGTTGAACGTTTTTGGTACACCCATAATAAAAGGTGTGCAAATAATGTTATCACTAGCTTCCTTTACTGGTTTCTGCAAAATTCTTTAAGTTTGGCAGGCTACGATCTTGGAAATACTTTTGTAAATTTGTCGAATTCATGCCTCGAGGTATCAAGATCAAAAAAGCATCAAATCGTTAAGCGTGTATATTCTTGTCTGTATCGTTCATACTTTAAAAGCTTGCAATCGTGGTGTGCTTACCTTCCGCACGGTTCAGGTGTGTGAAGAAATATGAAATTTTTAAAAAGTACTGTATTTCTTTGCACACCTATTTAAAAAGAGAATCCTTTTCATAAATTTGTCCAAGATAAAGTCATGCTTCTTATACTCTGACACCTTATATATATTAAGATATTCAAATATTCCTCTTACAAAAATTATTTATGTAGCGACTTGCATACAATAAATCTGTAATTATTTCAGACTTACCTGGCGATATGAGCGACCTCTGGACAGGAATTCCTCCATTGAGAACAAGAGTCATATCATCAACTGAACATTGAAAAACCTCAATATAGCGTTGCTTTTTACCAAACACCATGTACCTATGATGTCTTTGCTGAGCAGCCATGAAAGCAGAATGTTCTGTGTCCATCTGTATAAAAGCTTCCCCGGATGGTTGACCCTAGAGAAATATGAAAAGAATACTTAAGTGTATGTGCAGAATTTATCGACACTATAGCCACTATCGACACTATTTATATAATATTAATTATTCAGTACTAAATTTTTGAACTTTATTCTTGTGTTCATAACTAATTATTAAAGTTACAAAGAACTTAAATGAGAGCTTTCTACATACTAGAATGCGTCAGGTTTAAGAGAGTTAATATGCAGCTTCTGAAAAAGTCATGTCAGGTGCGTAAGTTTATAATAATTGAAAGTTTTTATATAATTAGAATAGTTTATATAATTAGAAGCCTTTATAATTCACTCTATAGAAGAACTGACTGAAATGACATAATCTAGAATACAGAGTTTTCAACCATTCGGTGCTATGCTCCATTTTCAGCAAAGTGCTTTATATAGGAAACCCTCCCCCTCCCCCCCCAAAAAAAGGTGTTTGATCCAAAGTTCTCTCTCTCTCCTAGAAAGACATCTTTTTATGCCGTAACAACCTAAGCTGCCGAATATCTAACCCACTGACTCTGGTTCTGTGGAGTTTTCAGACAGTACTCTCAGAAATGACTTGATGGTCAGTATAGGACAGCTACCAAAAGAATTGTACCAGAATAGATGTTGGTTGCATAAATATGATGAACGCTGGAGAATGCCTGTATGTTCCAATGCATGTTAGATCGAAGGTGATCAGGAAATCTTCCCGCCCTCCTTTCAACTAGAACTGCCCTACTAGCATTTTATGCAAACTTTCTGAACGCAGGGGTATTTATTCGCTTCAACATTACAGCAGAATGAAGGTGAATTTTTTCTCGTCAAGTCTCGCGTGTTGCATTGCATTTTTCAAATACTGTCCTGTTTTACTTGTGATAATCTGGCATCAGGCCATTCAGTACATTCCATTATAATGTTTTAATAACTGACATTTTCCATGATATGCTTAAGCATATATATTTCCATGATATGCTTAAACATATAAGTCGAAACTATTATTTGCATTAATTTATGTATTAAGGAGATATTTTCATATGTGATAAACAGTAAATTCAAGTTTAATATATTTTTGTTAATTACAAGGTTGCCGTCAACTTTCGAGCTAGAATCATTTTAAATAAAGCTTTTTAAGAAAAAGGTTAAAAGCGTAAGAGAAAATATTTATTTTGAACTCCGTAATTTACAGTGTTAGAAAAATTTATGAATTAAAGTAGGCTGCAAATGTTCATAAAAGTTATAGATCGCGCATATTTCAAATTAAATTTATTTTAAAATTATATCAGTTAAGTAGACTGGCAAATTAAACCATACGGGATCAACAAAAGCAGCCGACATATCAAATTTAGTCATTCCCATAATAATAGTAGCAAGTGAATATTTAAACGAGAATTAAGGGCAAATGCAGTTTAAGTTATGTTGTAGCGCAAAATTGTGTAGCCTTCAATTAAAATCAATGTTTCATGACATCTGTCACACTTTAGACAATTTTTTAAATTTTTGATTAACCTGATTATTAGCAATTATAACTATTTTTCTTAGTTTCATCCGCTGATCTAAATAAATTGTTTTATTTCAGTTGCATATCAATCCATTATAAAAGTAAGATGAAAAGAGAGTTTCCAAGGAAAGATAGCGTTTCGATTGTCCAGCTCTGGATAGAAACAATTTAATGTGCGACAGAATGACCATATTAAGAATTTGGAAACGTGTTTCCGAAAATAATTCTGAAGGTAAGTCTTATGCTAATGATTATTCTTTTAAGAAAACAAAACTATGGACGTAAATGCAAAGATTATAGTAGAGTAAAACTTGAAAAGCTTAGATATATTCTTCTAATCAGAAGAGGCAGTGTAGAATGTTTGATAATATTTCTCCTGAAATACTGGATAATACGTTTCTGTCACTTCAACTAGTTATGCTGGAAGCAATGATGGCTCCTGTAATTTTAAGCTCACGCATGTAGGGAAAGCAAAGCTTCGCGGCCAAGGGATCCTACCTACAAGTTTAAAATGCAGTCGCGAAATTTTTGAAAATTCCAGAAACTGTGTGAACATTAAAATAAAAATTGGGAGTAATATTTTTAATTTGTTGCTTAATTTAATCTAGTTTTTTTTATAATAAAAGTTGTGTTCTATGTTTATTTTCTTTTGCTGCTATTATTATGGAACAAATTAAATTCATAAACTGTTACTAGTATATTATTATGGGACAGCGGGAGTATAGTATTAAATAAAATTAAACTGAAGGACATCAGCATCCATTAATGCCACCAGTCCTCGACGGCCAGTTTATAGGTCATTAATGTAATGTGATGCAGTATATTCAGACAGATTGTTAACCGAAGATAGATTAAGTTAAACCGAAGAATACCTGTGACCGAGGGACTGGCATGTATAAATGTGTGGGGCATAGAAATAATCATAAATAATCGCCAGTGTGGATAGCATAATGTTTCATGTTGTAGGAACACTTCCGAAGGCACGTGGATGATAAGTGCAAATTAGTGTAATGTAAAATATCACAATGCTGCGAAAATATCCGGATATTTCCTAAGGATATGCCTAAATTTCAACAGATAAAAAAAAATTAATTCCAATTTTTATCAGTTAAAAGAAATAAACAACGAATGGATCATTTTTGGTTTAGTTCTAGTGCATAATTTACTTACAGATCGAATAAGCATTAGTTGAAAAATATTATTCCGTTTCCTAAATCAGTGTGCCAAAGATATAATTTTAAAATTCAGTACATATTTGAAATCATATACTGATTTAATCAGTACGTTTGGTCACTTTCGGTATTATTACATAGAAAAAAAGTAATTTGTTTTGGATGCAGAATTTATGATCTATGCATCACAAGCCACCCTCCTGGATAGTTTTGTTTAAATTCTAATATTTAACTTTGCCTTTTTCCTGTACTGACCATTTAACAAAAAATGTGTGACGAATATTTTCATTTTACAGAAAAGGACAAAATAAATAAAATGTGGCGACAGACACGTGTTTAGGTGCTTACATCAGTAAAACTCTCATTTCATTTTTTAAACTATGCAAATTGAATATAGAATCAGAATAAATTTTGAACGGGTGTGGTCTCTCTTTCTCTCTCTCTCTTTTTTTTTTTTTTTTTTTTTTTTTTTTTTTCTCTTTTTCCTCTTGGAAAAAATATTTTACCTGGGGAAGAAGAACTGTATATTTCAAGGCCATATATCGAGAACAGAGGAAAGACCTTCGTCTTCTTTTGAAGGTGGTCCTTTCTTCAAAACAATTGCACGTGTTTTAAAAGCATTTTCATGATTTAAAATTTTCTTACTTTATATTTAGTGATTTATTTTCAACGTTTTATCATAAAGAATTTGAAAATACACTCCAAACTATCAATTTAAGCTATTACATTAAGGCACTTTTTTTAATTTTAAAAAAATGGATATCTTCTGTATACGTAATAATTTGATAAACATAAACTAAAATTTATAAAAATAAATTTAAAATTAAGTATCATTTAAATAAGAGCAAAAGTCTGGAATAAAAAGCAAATTATAAAAAGACTGACATTCTAAAATGATTAGTTCGATCAAGGATAGGTGCAAAACATTCTTTAAAAAGCGCTGCGCCATAAAATAACATACAAAAAATTAATAATCTGAAAAGTTTCAGGTTTTAACAATCTCTCAAAAGAGCCGTTTTAAAGATTAGTACGGTTTATCAGCAGATATTATCAATAAAGATGGCGCAGGTGGGAAAGCGGAATATATTATAGCATTACTAGATGAATATACATTTAAACTAACATGGGAAAGTTACATATCTTCTGTATATTTAAAATGTGAAAAAAATGTAGATAACGTAATTTTATAAAAATGTGTAATGCTTTAATACCTATATCACGAATTAAACACATTTTTGTTTAAATCGGTCAGATTAAAAGTAAAAAAAAAAAAAAAAAAAAAAAAAAAAGTAGTTATCTTAAGAACTGAATCTGTTAATAAGACAGATTAAATTAGAAAGACAGATATCTTACATTTTTCCGAATGGCAACTAGAATGAAAAATAAAACAATGCATTACATTCAAAGTGAATCATCCCCAAATCGTGTTTCGAAATTAATTCTGGGCTTTAAAAAAAATAATAAACAAATAAAAATTCCGAAGGGAAAAAAAATCAGTGCAAGATGTTCACTATTAAGGTTCATTACTGCCTACCTAAAGGTATGCCAAATTTTATTACTCTGATATACTTATAAACATGCAGTCTTTCTTTTATTATTTTCTTGCTGTTTCCCTCTCTTTATATGCGCAAACAGGATTGACAGCAATATTAGAATACAAATGACGGAAATAATGATTTGAAATGGCAAAATAAAATAATAATAATGACAATCATAAAAAGTGAAAGAGAAACAAATCGAATTATTAAGAGCAGGTAATGTATGAAAACTAACACTAAAATCTGCACAAAAAGTGAAATCACATTTGCGTGATAACTTCAATTATAGACGATATTTTAAGCTATTGACTTATTTGCACTGGAACGTTAATGTAAAAAGGCCTGAAAATACGTGATTTGAATAAATAAAAAGGCAGCGAGAAGTATGTTGGGAGCATGTAGCAACGTAATAAGTAAAATATGAAACAAGAGAGTAAATACTTAAAGAAAATAAAACTTTTTTTTTTTTTTTTTTAATTTTTCAACAGAAGTAGAAAATTCTATGATATTCTAAAATATTCTCTTATGAGCTTTCAATTTTTTGGTTATAGACCGCGTAAAAGCTTCATGCCCATTGTATACGAATCGAATTCGAAACAAATCCAATAGAGTTCAAACATTTAATTGTTTAGCCATTCGTGAAATGACACGCTGCTAATTATTTCACGTGCTGTAGAATAAAAAATTTTGGCGATTCGATTAACAAGATTCCCAAGCTAAGAACATAGCATTATTAGCACAAAAGGTGTAGCGAAGCGGTATCTTAACTTTAAATTAATAAACCTAAGAATACATCAATGCGAGT